ATAAGTATATTGATTTATGGCCCAAATAGATTGCAGATGAAGTATTTTCAAGAATAACCAGGGCCAGGGGCCAATTTGAGGCCCCACGCACAGTTATTTGATGAGTGCTAGTGGAGCCTCGCAGCGGCGAAACCGTGCCGCGTCACCCTGATGGCGCCACATAAGCGCATAGGTGCGCCTCAGATGAGGCCCCCCTCCGCAAGGTGTGGCCCCCTCCACAAGGTGAGGCCCCACACAGTCTGCATGATCTGCCTGTAGGGAGGGACGGCCCTGGGAACAACAGCAGCAGTACCAGTATGAATTGTAGTTGAAATATAGCCAGTGATGCATGGCGTCCACTGTAGTGGACAGGTGGTTAACCATGATTTCCTGCAAACATAAAATCAATACTTTGATAATTTATGAATTATATGATTCCTTAGTTGTTACTTGATGTCACCACCTTTTTTATACCTGCAGGGGACGCTTTCCATGAAAGGATTGGCAGGATATAGATGGGTGACTTGGTCCATGTGGCTTTCTGTCGTCCATCTTGGTTTAGAGACATGTATCATGCACTTACACTGACTTGGCACTGAGTGGCAGTGTATGGGATGATGCAATAGGGTCCTATGTAGTGGCTGATGGTGCAACAATGCAAAAAAAAACAATGCATATACAAGAAAACACCTTTTGAATAGCTGTGTCCACTGTAGTGACCTCTATGACACGCTGGGCTCTGGGACTTTGTGATGGATATTCTTCACTATTCTCCAACCAACCAAATAATGAATTGAAAATATGTTGAACATTTTTTCTTTCTTGATGCAAGTTTTGTTCGTTTTAAACTCGAGTTGTGCAAAAGTGGACCATTGTATCAGATTGTTCACAGTTAAATGATAACTAAATGCTGACACACACAATGTTAGTTCTCTACAACAATAGCATGCAGTGTGTGAGAGCATCAGTACGTGTTTTTCCTTTACATTCGGCCATAAACAAATGTTGTATTGTTGTTCAGACTCAGAGTGAAGAGGCTCGACGCACTGGTTCTTGTATCTTTGTTTAGGCTTACTGTGTGTGCGCGTTACTGCGGGTGCACTCTCTGCATGTGTGCACGTGTACACATGTGCGCCCTCTGAGGGAGAAAAAAAGAGAGAGGTCAGGTTTCTATCCCATGATGCAACTGTTCTATCCCCCCCCCCCCCCCCCCACACAACCCCTCCTTTTTCTCCAAGCTGGTTGTCCATGGCAACACACTTATAATGAGGTCAGATGGACATCCAATAATATTCACCAGCCAAACCAGCAAGCAGCAGAGTGAGGCGTGTTGGGACAGACAGCAGTCAAAGTGTCAGAGGCTGAATCAGCAGCAAGACAAGATGGCCGCCAAATAAATACAATAAGTTGGCAAGTCGTCAAGTCTGAAACTGAGCTGGAGTCAGTTAACTCACTGTGGTGCTTACCTTTGTTTACCTGGAAGACGTCCAAGAGGTTTGACTTTAATGGTTGAGTCTCAGTATTGAAACACAAATAAGAACTGCATTTAAAAGTTATGTAATGATAAGGAATGACCTTAATTCCAATCAAATGGAAAAGAGCAAACATGAAATCTTAGTCAGCTAAAGTACAAAGTAACATTTCAAACATTGAGGTAGAGGGTTTACATGTTAAACATCTTTTTGTTTCAGAACGTTGTGGTTTGCAAGTTGTAACAGACAAATAATTGGCTATTGTTGGTTCCTGATGTGTTGCATGCTGCGGTGAAGGAAGTGATTATAACTATTACTCACGTAAAAGTACAATAAAACATAATAAGAACGCTCTGTGACAAGTTCAACATTTGACTTTGATGGTGACTTTAAACTGTTCACATCAATGGGCAGCTTCATCTAAACAATGTTTTGTATTTTTTGAAATGACATGTTTAGGGATGAAATGTTTCATCTGAAATGCATCTAAGGTAACTCAAATAAAAAAGTGGAACAAAAGGTAAACTACTTGACTCTGAAATACAATTTAAAATGAGTTTAAAGTTGCATTTAATGGTGTAGTACATTTAGAATTGTACTTATAGCCTAAAGCATCTGGGTCACATTATACACTCTGTTTTTATGGCTCCAAACTGTGGAACAGCCTCCCATTGGATCTTATAACGGCAAACTCCATTGCAAGTAAATGAAAGACATATCTTTTTAATGTAGCTTTTAATTTGGGGTAATTTTAGTGGTATCACTGTTCATCTTTTATGGTTCTGTGATATAACTCTTTCTGTTTTTAATGATGTTCCTCGCTCTTTATCTGGTATCTTTTCTTACTCTGTAAAGCACTTAGGGCTGCATCTTGCATGAAAGGTACTCTAGAAATACAGTTCACTGTTATTATACATTAGAGAAGAAACTATTAATACATTAAAATGGTAAAATAGAGTTTTGGGAATAATTAAAATACGTGATTTAAACACATCACAAGCTAGGCACATGTGGGTAAACACAGCAACATCACTATAGTAACCAAGTCTCCTCCGTCTGTGAAATGAAAGTCATGCCATGAATCAAATGTCAGTTTAAATCTCAGATATGCTGACATGACAACTTTGTATATGCAAACCAATTCAAATGCAGATTTAAAACTAAAGATTATAGTAATTGTTTTAATTGCACAACTAATTGTTTTACGAAAAAAGTTCTGTAAATGGCTTTTCAGCTTGAACCCATAAACGGTTCTGTTTTGCATCCCAGAAAACGCTCTGACAGGTTAGTGTCATTGAGGTCAATATCTTCTTCTAAGAACTCATATTTAGAGTCAGACAAAGGCTGTATCACTTCTATTGAATTACAGACGACTTAATAAGACTCAATATCTTAACAATATGACAGGAAACTAATTGTTATATTATCAAGAGGGATTGAATATCTTCAATCAAAATGATGTATATGACAGTGGAAAAAGGGATTTGAAACAACATTTAAACCACAATGCAGGGAGATTTATAGAAATATAGTTATCATAGGTTTTGTATGTAATGAACTGACCATGTTAAATGACCTTTAGGGGTAAACATGATTCATCAGTTGGAGGGAACCTGCCATATTGTTTGCCTTTAGGATACCCACAGTGCCACAGGCATGTTCCCATATGAGCACAAAGCACTCCCAGTGTGAAGTTCAGATAAGAAGACAGTGTTGCAACAATGAGCAGCACTGTTGTAAGAAGTTGTTGTGAAATGGAGGTGACTCAAATGTGGAGAGGACCTTAGGCAAAAGACATTTAGGGGGAGAGAGAGGGATGATGGCAAATGGGTGCATGATAGAGGAAGACTCCTGTGAGAATGATAGTTAAATGTGTTCTTTTCAAGGCTCCTTCATGTAACTGCCGACCGTGAGACAAAGGATGGAGTCTCTGAGCCTCCATGCCACGTCAGTCTGAAGGATCCATTTTAGTCTGCCAATCAAAATGAACCAGGTCATTTACATACTGTATTCAGTGACGAATGACTCAAACCCGGGGGCACAGCGCTCCCCAGTGGTCACTGTAAGGTACTGCCTGACCCAATGCCAGAGTCAGAATCAAGGTTATTAACAAGCAGGTTTTCAAATACATTTGTTTTGCTGTGTTGGTGCATGAAAAATAAACATAATTTATTTATTAAAAAATCTACAAATCATTTTAAGAAGTATGTACGAAGTGACCGCTTGTAAGAAAGAGCAGAGAAAACAGACTGTATGGAGTCAAATGAATACTCGTGCACTAAAACATAATCAGCTAATTAGTAACCATTTATGTGTGCTTCATGTATTGTTTGAACTACTTCAAGTGGGACGTTTAGGCCATTAGGGGGAAAAAAGGATATTTAAATAACATTTTGTTATAATACAATTCATACTGTATATATCCTATTGTCCATTCTACGATTTTTAACATGGATTAATGAATGCTCATGGCTCAATTTTGAATTTACCGTGTGATGCCTACGTGCTGAAGTGAATCTCTATTTACTGTTACAATCTATGTGAACCAATAGTATGCCCCTCACCTTCTGTTGAACACCGACCATCCTGATACTGCTGTCAGAATGCTCCTTTCATATTATCAGCAGGTGCAAGCCCCTCCCCTCCCATTTCTCCCTCTTCTGTGTTTAAATATGCAACGCAAACTCTTTGACTCTGCAGACAGTGATGCTCTCTGTATGTTTATTTATAATATGAAAAAAGACAAATAAGGATCGAACAATAGGAGATTGAAGAATAGAGAGAAACAAAGACATTTGAATTAGTTTTTTACCTAATTTATACTGAAATGTTTATGAGACGGAGGAGAAATATGACTATGAAATAACTGGATGGGAGTTTCACATATACCTTCAATTAAAATGGAAAGAGTAAAAACACAATAGTTAAACAAATTCTATTTATGTCCTTAATAACTTATCCTTGGGAGATTAATTTCCCAGCATATATTATTCAAAGAATACACAATTTAAGACTTAAAGGTGGGGTAGGTAATTTTGGAGAAACCAGCTCGAGTGCGCTAGAATTTGAAAATACACAACCGGAAAAAATCTGCCACTTCCTTACAGAGCCCCTCCTCCAACACACAGGAACGCGCACGTGACCAATGAGGGCACGAGATAAGTTTGTGCACAGATGGAAGGCTGACAGGCAGGTAGGCCATCCAGTTACTTTAGCCGGGCCGGCTCAGGTGATTGGTCGTGCTTTTTACAGTACTACGGCTTCCACAGATGAACTTTTTGTATGGATTTATTGTCAAAGCACTTTAGATATTCATTGCTATCGGGATGTTAAGAGCATTCCATGGAATATAACAAAAAGTGTTTCTGAAATAAATTACATACCTCATCTTTAAGTTCCCATTTTTCAAAAGATTAATAAAAAAAAAAAAACTTTTATTCAAAATAAACTAAACAGTGCAGATAATAAAAACAGCAGGAAAGGTTGGAGGAGAAGGAAGAAGTGTCTTAAATGTGAATGATATCAAATTAAATCGAGTCAAGGTGAAACAACAATCAAGTACTGTTTTTATTATTTCCAAACACCCACCACTTCTAACATTCATCTTTTTATACAGAGCACTTATCTGTAAATATTGCTTCAGCTGTTTTGTCCTGCCACTAGAAGCTTATCATGAGAGTTGTTTAGTTGGTGATACTCACTCAAACTGTTGGCACTCAACCGTCAAGTAAAAATATCTAAAGAGAAAAGAAATAAAAACCTCAAATGTCCAAAAAACAGCTAAAATAATGTTCCCCAAGAAACAATAAGGAGCAAAGAAAATTATATATATAATACTTGTAATCATCCATACATTATCAGAATAAACTGTCATCTCCAAAATAGTGGAAAAAATATAAGCAAAGTGGAATTATAGTTAATTTTTTACAAGGAAATCTTCTCAGTTTAAAGATTTTGGTTATTATTTGGCCGTGGTTAATCAGTATTGAAGAGCTTAAAAAACTATATCAAAACACGACATAACATCGGTTATTCCAGATCCTTAGCTAATTAACTCTTATCGTTTAGTACTTATAGTTTAGCTTCATAACACAAAGGTGATTCAGGCAAAAACGCCTAAACAGTTTAACTCCAAACAGTTTGCCTGCTTAAAGATGGCTGATGGTATATCTGATGATAATATAAGTTTAAGTCTAAATTATTATATTTTAGGCTCCAGTGGAGATTTCTTGATGCCCAAAGAAACAACACAAACCTTTAAACTGAGCAGTATTCCCCTTTAAGGCCTCTAGGAGGTGCTAACACGCCAAACGAACGAGGAGAGCGAAGCAGGAGCGAACAATACGAGGAGGTCACGAGTTAAATGTTTTGCTCATTAGTCACATCTACTATCCACAGCACAAGGCGAGTTAGGATTCCATTAACCAGTTCATCAACAGGTTAGGTTACTGTTCAGTGTTTCCCATACATATATATTTTTGGTGGGCTGATGATCGGAAGGTTGCGAGTTCAAATCCCGCATGGAACACCACCACTAGTGTGCCCTTGAGTAAGGCACCTAGCCCTCAGCTACTCCAGGGAGAATGTCCCTGTAGTTGGTCATTGTAAGTCGCTTTGGAATAAGGCGTCTGCTAAATGCCTACATTGTAAATTATATTGTTGGGAGAATAATCCCCACAGATCCTCAACTCCGGTGTGTCTCACTCATTAACAACGCAACACAGAGCAACAAGAACGTTGTCTACAGTAGCCATGAACTCGCATGTATTTTCTTATTTGAGGGGGGGTGGCGGCGTGGGCCACCCGAATAGGTTAAGGGACCTTTGGCTTTTCTTGCCGGGGGGTGCGGTGCCCCCACAAATAGAATCAAATTCTGTGGGAAACACTGCTGTTTAATGTGTTGTCTTTGTCACAAATGAAATGTCAAATAGCCTGCTAAAGAAGAAGGGCTGGTTGGTGTTACTAGATTTGCAAAGACAACAAATGGTCCCAAAGCTGGGAAAATATGACTTATTAGGATCCTAAGCAATAAGGCAGAAATGTTTTTGAGAACGAAATTACAAATGTTAAGGCATTACTACTCAAAGTTTCAATATACACACACACACACACACACACACACACACACACACACACACACACACAATTGAATAAATGAGGTGCATTCTGGCATTGGTGCTGCAGTTAAATTAAGGCCTTCTTTTTTGTGTGCAACATTTGTATTAGATGATGTCTTGATAGGACTCTAATGGAGATGGCTGTTTGGCAAATGTTTCATGGACTTATATCTGGAGTTTCACTCATCTACATCATCGACGTGTCACAACAGACAGAGGCCGACACTCTTCTGTTTCTTTTGCATTAAGCATGCTATTGTCTCTAAAATTGGATGTAGTTTTGGTTTATTTGGGATGGGGTCTATATGTAACACCTTAAATACTTTATATCAGGTGGTATGCAGTTTTAAAGAGTTACAGCCAAACATAATGACTCCCCTGTGACAGTGGAGTGTGAGGATGTCCACAGTGAGGCGGCAGGAGAGAAAAGGCAATGTTTGCTGAACACTAACATATTTCTGTCAGGTGACCACCCTGTGCCTTGAAATGTGTCTCATGAAACCTACCAACCAACCTACTCATGTTCCAACTGAAAGATTTGATTTGTTTTTCTAAATCTAGTTTTTCTGAAGGACGTGCAAGTTCGATCATCGCTCCTGTTGTTGGATTATTGCAGGTGTGCATCATTAACTGCTGTGTGTGTGTGTGTGTGTGTGTGTGTGTGGGTGTGTGTGTGTGTGTGTGTGTGTGTGTGTGTGTATACATCGTCTTTTATACTGCAAAGCCGAAGTCAGTGAAGCTCTACAGAAACTCTAATTAGCCAATCTGAATCTCTTTGTGGATGAAGTCAGGTTACCGTGGCCACTCAAAATAAACCACTAAATACGACGGCAGCTGCAGGGAACGATGCTCACAAACTGGGTTTTTATATCTCCTTCAATAAACAACATAACTTGTTTGTAGAAAGTGTTTATTTCTGATCCATGTTCTCCTCTTCTAATAGTTTTAATCAGACTGGTAACAAATATCATTAATGCCTCGTTGTTTTTTACTACTATTTCTTTGGTGCAAATGCAACCCGCTTTAGACCAAAGAAAGACATGATATAATGAAAAGGATCATTATTATACCGTCAGCTCAATTTCAAAGGAATTATGCGAGCCAAACTTAACCAAAAATCTCCATAAATGTAAGAGCGAGCGCAATCTACAACGGCGTGTACTGACCAAAGACATCTTAAACTTTACAATGTGTGACTTGGGTAAATATCTTTTGATAAACGTCATCATTTTCAGTTGGTGGTTACCAGTTGGAGCTGTAACCGTGACACTGTTTGTATCTTTAAGGCGTGCAACCCTCTCCTCCTATTATTGAAACCTGTTTCCTGGTTAGTGAGGAGTCCACATGTGTTAGTCATATTATAATGGACACGTATCTATGATGAGAAGAAAGCCTCTTCCAACACCACACCCCATAGTAAGTCACTACGGCTGAAGGCACTGTTTACAAATGACCTCGTCCACTCCCACACCCTCCCCCTCCTCTCCGTACTGCCTCCCTCCGTTCCCATCTAGGTTCATCTCCGTCTACCTCCACCTCCTCCTCCTCGTCCTCCTGTTGTGGCGTCTATAGCAGGACGCAGCGCTTCTTGGGTTTGTTGTCTGGAGGCTCCAGAGCTGCCAGGATGGCCTCGTCAAACACGTTCTTCAGACCCCTCTGAGAAAAGAGTAAAAACTCATGAGCTATGTCTGCTAATAAAAAAAGAAAGAAAAAAGAGACCTGAGCGGTTAGAAACCTTTGAATCATTTTAAAGCACTGACCTCATTCACTAACAACCCTAAAATATGGTGGCCAAAGTACATGTTTTAAGGCCCATTGTAACCCTAAAACCATTTTCCTTTACTGTGAATCTTACATAAATATAGTAGACATAAACGGAATAAACATATATGCATCTCTTTATTCAAATTAAATATTTAAATTGACCCACATATTTGCGTTTTACTGCAGCGTCATATGAAGCAGCCATCTCACATTTTAAGAGGCAGAAACAAACAGTATGGTATTTGAGCTAAAATGATGTATTCCTTATACCAACTATTACTACAGGGTATCATCATTATGTATTGGAAAAATGAAATTGTACTACAAACTGAATGGCAGTGCTGCTTGAAATCCTTTTTTATATCAATTAAAAAAGTCGGAAATGATATTGTTTGTCCTGACCTGCCGCAGAGCAAATCAATAGAATACAAATCAGTAGGGTGCAAAGTGACCATTTTGTTTACCTATAAACTGAATGCATTGTGGATGTTCATATTGGTTTTCGGCTTATGAGTATCGTTTGTAATGTATCGATTCCGATTCCGGTTCTTATTGATTCCCCGTTTCGATTCCAAAATTGTAAAAGAAAGAGGTCAAACGTTTAGATAACAAAAATATCTTTATTCTTTTAAGCTTTAACTGACATTTTTACAAATAAAATATATATGCAATACATGCAATACAAATGTATTGCACAATAGCTGTGCTATTAACAGGCATTACACTGTGCCTTGTCTTTTTCTTTTTTAGTGTAGTGGAGCCTCACTTCAGAGCGTTTACCGCGACCCATCTTTGGTGTTATGAAGTGACTGAGCTCGTGTACTGTCTACGGGAGGGCGGGGGGAGCCTCGCTGCGGGGCAACTGTGGACCTCTGTCGCCTGTCAGCGCAACTTACATGATGCCGTTCCAAAAAATTAAGGGCGGTGCCGGCCGTCAGCGTACCGAGCCGGCCGTCAACGGCCCGCTGGCGACCGGCCGTTCTGTGATTCTCCAGAACACACAGATGGCCAGTCCGCCTTTACCCTGTATTCCACCGGGTCACCGGGGCGCAGACGGACCCGGTGGAATACAGGGTCTACCGCATTTAGGAACCGTTAACCAGAACCGAAATTGTGTATTTTGCATGGGTACCCGGCATTTTCTTATCGGTTCTCATCTGGAACCGAGTTTCGGTTCCCTACTTATGAGTGATTTAAATCTACCAGCCACTTGCATATCGTACATTTTAAGTGTGGACCAGTTTAGATGCAGAGGCCTTTCCTCTGTGCGTACCTGTGTGAGAGCTGAACACTCCACGTATTTGACGGCCTTCAGCTCTCGGGCCAGTTTCTCCCCGCTCTCACAGCTCAGGGCTCGCTGTTTGTTCTTGGCCAGTTTCTCCAGAGTGTTACTGTCGTCTCTCAGATCCACCTGAGTCCCGACCAGCAGGAAGGGCGTCCGCGGGCAGTGGTGGGAGATCTCCGGCACCCACTGTGAAGAGACACGGACAGAGAAGCATGAGGCATTTCATCTGGGAGTCTTGAATAACACATCATTCTCAATGTCATAGTTATATTTGTGTTAACATTTCAAAAGGAATTCAAATGTTTGTGTTTTTTTGTTCTTAATTTTCATCCTTTAACAGCTTTTCTGGAAGTTTATGACCAGATTATTAGTCATTTCACATTTACTAAACGTTTTCTTTTAAAGATTCGTTGTTGAAAAAAGTACGACCTCTTTTGTTTGTTTCAATTAAAAGCCCAAACTGACAAATGCTGACTGACTTTACTACACAAACTCACCTTCTCTCTGACATTCTCAAAAGAGGAAGGCGATACTACGGAGAAACAGACGAGGAAGACGTCGGTCTGAGGGTAGCTGAGGGGTCGCAGCCTGTCGTAGTCCTCCTGACCTGCAGAGAGAGAAGCACATACACTCTGATCAACGGCAGGCAGCAAACACAACGTTTAAGATGTAACAGGTGGAGTGGGCTGCAACAGTTGTCAATGAGAGTGGTGCAGGCAGGAGTCCTAGCACTTCTGAGCTTCCTCTTCTTGATGTCAATGGGTTTTTGAATGCGTTAGATCAGGGGTTCTCAAAGTGCGGCCCGCGGGCCAATGGCGGACCTCGGAAATGTTTCTGGCGGCCCGCGATAGTTAATGTGACACGCTGAAATGCATGCGTTATATTTTAATCCTCCATGGTTGTATCTAGTAAGAATTAGAATGGAATTTAAAACCCTCTGGAATCCGCCGGCGCGTCCAGGTGCGCATAATTTTACGTAATTAATCATATATTTTCGATTATAAGGAGTAGAAATATGATTCAGATATCCGCGGAATCGCTGGAAGAGTAGCTCTCCAGCGGTATCTCCTGTGAGACTGTAACCAGGGCACAGCAGCCAATATGGCCGCTCAAAGCAGCTTGACTTTACACTGTGTGGGATTGGTGGATTTGTGTGTCCGTCAAGGAAATCTCGGCCGGCAGCCATCATGGTCTGAAATGACCAATGGACATCGAGAAATCACTAATGACCTACCCACCAAGTAAAAAAAACATAAACCACGTGTCTCCCATCAGTTTACATCTGTGAGGAGAGACAGAGAGAGACAGAGAAAGTGGCTAAAAAAAACTTTACAGTTGCCGACTTCGCTAGAGATTTTTTTCGCTAGCAGCAGTGAAGATAGAGCCTCAGAACCTGAAGTCTTCGACTCTTCTGAAGAAGAAGAATACAAAAACAACAAGGATCCATTTGGACATGGGTAAGTGTAAATATTACAGTAATAGTGTACTGGCAATGTGTGGGGAATACCGCGAAAATGAACAATAGGTTTATTGATATATATTTTTTATCGATAGTCATGAACTTTTTATTGGACAAAATAGACTCTCCATTAGCAAACGTTTACTCTGTGTTAACAACGTTATTTTGGTGTGTAAAAGTGAGATTACATGTGTAGATAATTAAATTAATCATGTATTCGTCCCACAACGGAGACATTTACAGTGACATGTTTTTGCCATCGATTATTTTATCATACTGTTCTGTACAGATGAGACTTTGTCATAGATTTATTTATATGTGTGCCTGTTATTATTTTACTGTCCTGTACAGATGACTTTGTAATCAGATGTAGCCTATGTATATGTGTGTCTGTGATTTTATACTGAATGTAAAGTAACTGGAAATATATACCTGTGTGTGTGTGTGTGTGTGTGTGTGTGTGTGTGTGTGTGTGTGTGTGTGTGTGTGTGTGTGTGGTGTGTGTGTGTGTGTGTGTGTGTGTGTGTGTGATATCGAGAGAGACTCCTTCTGCAACCTCCCAAACTTTATTTGTATGTGTGCATTGTTATTTGTGCTTGAGCAACATTTTACTTGAACTTTATTTCAATGAAATTAGTTGTAATTATTGTCCTACACAGGCGGCGTTTATCCAGCAGCCACAACATCCATCTGTGCCGGCCCCCAGGTCAAGATCTACTGTGGCTCAAGAGCCTTCACCAGAGCCATCACCAGAGCCATCACCACCAAGGACCAGCAGACCAGCATCACTACAGCTGCCTCCATATGCGGCTGCCACCAGGTCAAGATACACCTCAGCACAAAGGCTCCACCACAGCCATCACCTTCAACCCAGCCAGCAAGGAGGTCTCGTGGAGGTCTCGTATAGCACTTGTACACCCCACCTACACAGCAGCCCATGCACCATCACCCCCACCTACACAGCAGCCAGACCCACTGTCTTGGAAGACAGACAAAGACCTTGACACTGTCTTGACATTTATAATGAATAGTTGGTTGAAAGTTCTGATGTTCAATATTGTAAATAGTGAGATTTTCCAGTTTCTTATATTTATATAAATAGTTGGTACAAAAAAACATATTTATAATAAATTGTTGGTTGAAAAAAAAAAAAGGTTGAATGCTCAATTTGTATTTGTACACATCACATGAACCTTGGTATGTAATATTAAGTCATTATTCAGTCCTGATGTATCTCAGTCCCTGCTGTGGTGAAAGTAGAGTGATACACACCTATTTTACTCAAAATTTGAATTTAATTTTTTTTATTTTAGACATGAATAACACATTTATATACAGTGTAATTCAAATATTTCACTGCTTTTGTGATCATAGGACTTTGGTAACCAAATCTAAAACACCAAAACAATTCGATCACATGAGTAAATTTGTGTTTTCACAAGAGTTTTGAAGATTTTCCAAAAATCAGATTTCACATTTTAAGCTTTTGAGCTACTTATCTCATCAAACAGTGCTCTAAAGTGAGCAATATGCATATATAGCAAGACCAGAGATTGTCCTGAACATTTTGACATTTAACACATGGGGTGCCATGTTAGAAGAAATACATTTAAAAGGTGATTTAAGAAAACATCTAAAAATCGAGAAAATACCCGTAGACTCCAGAGGGTTAAGAATGGTAAAACTGCGCCCCCTGGGTTGTCATTCCTAAATTATGAATGACAGCTTGTGGAAAGTTTGCTAGACTACTGGTTGCATGGCAACTATGCATCTCGCGAGTTGCGGTAATTGGTTAGTAGTACAATAAAGAAAGGATTTGTTTTGGAATTATTTTGTGTTCCGTTTTTTCTTGGGCGGCCCTCAATCCAATATTGGGTACCCAAATTGGCCCTCACTCATCAAAGCTTTGAGAACCCCTGCGTTAGATGCTTGAAGTATTGTCTGGTGTAGACACAAGATTATGACGTTTTCACGTTTTGTACTCCGTCATAAAAATATGTCAATAAATACCTAACTGGTGAATGTCTGAAGCTTCAATGTATTAAAAATAGCCGTTGCTAAGAAGTGTCCTATTGAGAATACAAAACATCATCACGCCGAAGATTAGACTAGTTAGCTTAAGGCGTAAGGTCATGTGACAATTATGTAGTTTGTTTATTTACCGTCAAGATTATCCTGCTGAACAAGATGTGGCAGTATCATATATGCGTGTTTGTTACAGATCTTACTTTCTGCAACAGTTCAAAATCATATGGAGATATCCCATATCTTTTTATCAAGGGACCTTTAACTTGGTCGGCAGACAGAAAAGCGTGATCCCTGCACCACTCTATTGTTACTCCTGCCGTTTCTGTTTCCTTTCAGTACTATTCATGTTAACACAAATTGAATATACAAACTACATGCAGATTTGTTTTACCTGCAGTGTCAAACAGTCCCAGAGTGTACGGCTCGCCGCCGATCATCACTGTCACTGCATAGTTATCAAAAACCTGAGGGGGGGGGAGAGGGAGCACAAAGGAAGGAAGTACACATGTGAAAAAGGCATATGACCTTTCAATCAAAACAGGAAGTACACTTCTCATCTTTAAGAGGCTTAAGAGTGTCCAACAAAAGAGACACATATATTGTATGGTAGTCAGACATACCCTAGCCCCAAACCCTAATTCTAAGAGTAAACAACCCTTTGAAGAAGTGAAGACCAGACACAATGTCTTGACTTTCCAAATGAGTCCTCTTCCGTCAGAGAGTGAAACTCATACTGGTCCTCACACATATAGAAGTACATGAGGACACACACACATCATTGCAGAACTTTAGGTGATTTTAGGAGGATGTTGCTTCTTAGTTTGCTCGTTTCTAGACCAACAGAGTAAACAAGTCAGAGTCTCTGGCTGGGGAAGCAATGGAAATATTTTCTTTCTAGTCCACAGTTATAATAATGATATAGTTTCCCCACCCTGCACATGTCTAAGGTCAGAGTTCTTAAACAAGAAAGGACATGATGTTTCTGAGGCTGGTTGTTAGTTTTGGTTTGGAGAATGCTCCTACGCTCGGGATCCTCTGATTCATGGTAGTACCAGCTTAAAGGGGCCACATTACGGCTTTGGGGGGTTTTCCTTTCCTGTTGTGTGGTCATTTTTTTCTGCATGTAAATGGTGTGCAAAGGCTCAAATCCCAAACTTCCCCCCAGAGGGAGTTTTTCTCTCTTTCTCTGCTATGAGTCATGATACGTTCTGCAAATACAATTGTGCATGTAGAGACTTTTCACATAAAAAACAAAACACAATTCAAGAATGTGTAATCCCTACAAAGATGTGGAAACTACAAGTCATAGACCTCGGCCTAGACTCTGTTAGAGCACTTTCCGTTTTAAATGTGCAAAGAAAAAAAGAGCAAGAATTGAGATTTAAAATGTTTAACACTATAAGCTGCTCAGTAGCAGTTCAGTGATAGCCTGTGGCCATTTTATTTTACTGCATTAATTCAGCAATATCTTTGAATGCAAGTTTCGAGTCGCTGCAACAGCAGTTTCTAGGATCAGTATTGATTCACTCAAACTATTTTTGTATATCAAACTCTTCTTGGCGTGTTTTTTTTTTTGGAAGGATATGTATTTCTTTGACTCTGTAGAACAACTGTCTCTTGTTGTATGTGAGGGACTACGAATGGAATTAGCTCAAAGCTCAAATCCGGCATATTTACACTTGACGCATTATTTGTTTTAAGTGTTCATTAATGTGCGTTGTCCCTGTTCAAATAAACGATTAAATGAAATGAAAATGAAATTGTCGTGAAATCACCATTTTGACATATGAAGCGTTCCACATATATAATGACTCCTGCGAGTTGTATCTTGTACCTGTCCATATTGTGATTCTGATTCATTGTTTGATCACATTTGACTGGAAGTGGTGTCTCAAGGGACATCAACTGTTTATTGCAATCATTTGAAGTGGATGTAAGCATCAATACTATCTTCATGAATGAATGCTAAGAAACTGTAACTTTAAATCATGTGAAACTGGCCACATGCTACCAGTAAAGGGAGTTCTGTTTTGAGGCTGTTCAGGTGAACCCACTCTGTCATCGCTTCTCCCTCCTGTTGCATCACTCTCGTACCTTCAGGCTGCTTGCCATGAAAAACAGAAGCAGCACGGTCCCAACATGCCTGCCAACCTCAGCTCTGAGTGGAGGTGAGCTGCAGCAGGGAGTGTTTTATAGCCGCCACGCCTGCTGCCTACAGAGCACGTCGAGCTGCTGCAGACAGTGTTTGAATGAAGCTCCGTATGCACAGACAGGCTCCAGATAAACAGGAGGATGTAGCCTGTGGGAGAGGAAGCTACATCCTACAAACACTGATTCCTGCTAGGTGTACTGCATATATCTCTTTAGTCTTTATTTATACAGGCAGGCTCACAGGGGGGGACTATAAAGGATTTGTACTCTCCTACATCTACGGCTGAGCGGAATATGTCACCATGGTATCAAACCTTCAGGCAATAAAAACCTTCAGTTTTTTTTTATTTGGCGAATATCATTTTTGAGAACTCAGAAGAAAATGAGAACACATTATTAAAACATATATATACACAGCCTATATGGCCAATGCAGTACAGTTTTAAAGAACTGTAGTGAGACAGGTCAATCGTTCCTGCTAAGCTATGAAGGCGACATCTAGCATCAAAGTGCATACAAATATCAAAAAGCAACAAAAATCACATTTACATTTTAAGGACAGACTAGATTAAAATGCATTTATTTCGTGAATTTAACATGAAATAAATTGACTTGATTTAACAAAAGCTTGTACAGATATGACTTTTAAACTAAATTAAACTGATCTGAAAGTATATTAATATATCAAATGTATCTTTAGCTGTTCTGACAATTTCAAAAAAACACAAGCATATTTTCCAATTTTAATTATTACTTACTTAGTAGTATAATCTTGTAGGAGTTAATTTATGTCTAGCAACACTGATAAGATGAACTTATATATTTACATTTAGAACTGTTCAGAGTAGAGCAGAGGATTGATATGATTTTGATCAGTACAAATTAAAAAAACTATTTTCCCCTGAGATATTTATCTTTCAAAATGGCAGTCTCTCTCTCTCTGGTTCATTTCCTGTTGTAGAACCAAAACTCATACAAAACAGACAAAAAGGAACTGGCTGTCTGAGGCCTTTCTGAACCCTAAATGACGAAGGTTTGTTTGACTTGTTTCTCATGGTAATAGTTTGTTGTGTTACTTGTTAGTGTTAGAATTGGTCGTTGGGTAGGATGCAGACATAAAAAAGAGCTTTTTATTGTAGTCGTTCTGTAAAAGGCTCCTTGACGTTACTTTTTTTCTAGAACTTAGAGTCAACTTCACACACACGCGCACACAGAGGTGCATTTCTAGTGATTTCAAGTTAAGACAGAAACACTGAGTGATGTGTTGAGGCACGAGCCATAAAGACACACACAGACATATTTCAATAAAAGACAAAGTACACACACATTTGTGATGATAATGCGTTTGGACAGGGCTGACTGCAGAAGCTGCTAGAAACAAGCTGATCACCACACTGGTACAGTAGGAAAACACTGCAGCTACATGGAGAAGCAGCTAATCAGCACTTGTGTTATTTGGTGTTACAATAACTTTCCTGTCTGACATTTACATTCTGCTTACTCATTCTGCAACACTTGGTGTATTTACATCGTATACAGGACGTGAATGTATCTCTCCAGATAAAATGTTACAGAAGGCGACATGAGGGATCTGAGAGATTGTTTCCTGGAGGAGACTTCCTCCCTCCTGATTTTTCTTTATTGTTGTCTTTGTCGGCTGACTAGCAGGAAACCGCACAACATGTTGCAGCACTCGTGAACATGCTCAACCCAAACAATGAAAACAGAGAGTCGGCAGTGGTGGATCTCATACCGAATGTGAAAGAGAAAAGCAAACAGTAGCAGATGCTCAAAGTAGTATCACTATTATTTAAACAATACCATTTTATTATTGAAATACTATTATGAGACCACATTATTCTCAACATATTACCACTTTTTTAACGAAATATTTCTATACCGACTACAAGTTGGCTCTCCATTTAATATCTCTGGCTTTGTTTGGATTCTTGCATATCAGTTAAAGGTGGGGTAGGTAAGTTTCAGAAACCGGCTCGAGTGCACTAAAATGTAAAAGTACACAGCCGAAAAGAATCCGCCCCTTCCTTCAGACTTCCTTACAGAGCACCTCCTCCAACACACATGAACGCGCAATACACGCCCAATGACGGCACGCCCAATGAGGGCACGAGATACATTTGTGCGTGCACGAGATGGAAGGCTGACAGACAGGGCGGCAATCCAATCTGTTTAGCCGGCCCGGCTAGACGGATTGGTTGTACTTTTTACAGTATTACGGCTTCCACAGATGACATTTTTTTATGGATTTTTTGTCAAAGCACTTAAGATATTTATTGCTATCGGGATGTTAAGAGCATTCCATGGAATATAACAAAAAGTGTATCTCGAGCCGGTTTCTGAAACTTACCTACCCCACCTTTAATAAGAACTTTGATTTAGATATATTTACAATAGGGCTGCTCAATTAATCGTATTTTAATCACGATTACGGCTTGCAACGATTACGAAAACAATGTAATCGAAATAAAACGATTATTTTTTTATTATTACTTATTTTTTTGGTTTTTAATTAAAAAACATTTTTTTGGGGTTTTCAGTTGAATTATACTTAAAGTTCAGGGTAATCAACTGTTAAAAACATACTGTTTTTTTCTCCAATAAATGGATGTTTTCAAAGTCAATGAATAATTGCATTTAATAATCGCAATTACAATTATTGACCCAAATAATCGAGATTATGATTTTTTCCATAATCGAGCAGCCCTAATTTACAATATCACATAAACGTATATGGATATTATGACAAAAATAACATTACGATAATATTTTCTCCAATTTACCACCACAGTAGGTTGCTTAATATCTAAGCAAATTTCTTTATGCAAAGATATATATATTGCGTTGTTTGAAATGATGTGATGGGGGGGGGGGGGGGCTGTGTGAGAGACAGACAGACAGACAGGAAGAGGACGATAGAGCTGAGTCAGCACTGTTGCTTCTGCAATCCTCTGATCAAAGTGTGCTGACTGCGGACAGAGGGAGAGATGGGGTGCCCATAGAAAACAGTAGAGAATTACTCAACAAATTCCAGCCGGCAGTCAGGGGAGCTGCCCGTCAATTAGGGGCCTTTACGTTATTTCCAGCAGGACAGTCCTGCCTGTCAACAGTCAGTCAGCTGTTTTCTAAAACGTCAGAGTTTGCAGGATCAGTGGAGCTGAGGGGACAGTCTCTGGACCTCCGTTTCTATCTGCAGAGCCTGAGAGGCAACTTCCTGCTCCAGCAGACCCCAGAGAATCTCAAATATGTTAAAGGTGGGGTAGGTAATTTTGGAGAAACCAGCTCGAGTGCACTATAATTTGAAAATACACAACCGGAAGAAATCTGCTACTTCCTTACAGAGCCCCTCCTCCAACACACACGAACGCGCACATGACCAATGAGGGCACGAGATAAGTTTGTGCACAGATGGAAGGCTGACAGGCAGGTTTATGGAGGTTATTCCCTATCTTTATTCAAGAGCGTGGTATTTAAATTTGAGAGCATACTTTATGTATTTATTTCCCTCAAACCCTGTCCTCACACTCAAATAGTGCCTGCTTGCACTTAGATGTGCTCTGCTTCTGCTCAAACTGTACGCTTGCACTCAGATATATTGCTGCTTACAGATTTCCTGTGTTCCAGTTTAAAACCTTCTCCTCGCACTCAGGCTGTTTCTCTGCGCTCGTGAAATGTCTGCTCTCAGATTTGTTCTGAGCGCGCTCGAAACTTTTGTGCAACAATCCTGTCAAAATCCCTCAACCAATAGGAGGCCAGGTGTCCTTGCGGGTGCTTTCGCTTTACTTATTACAGCGTCCCGTAAGGGCGGTTACTCTTTGGTTTATAAACTCCCGCCCTCCACGGCTTTGTAACATAACATGTAGGCCTACTTCACTGTACAACTTTTTTTTTGGGGGGGGTGTAAGCACAGTTAGTAGGCTATGCAGGGCTGCCAACACTCACGCATTGTGCGTGAGAGTCACGCAATTAACCCATATCTCATGCAAATAAAGTGAAGGAACAGCAAACCGAGCGGTCTACGAAATGAGACGGTCTTCTGGCTTAGTTCAGTAAAGTTGGAACGATATTGGGAGAATCTGATTTCACGGATCAATAACTCATGAACCATTATTCAGACACAAATGACGTCTCCTAAGTACCGTGGTAAGGTTGTAAGGTTGACAACGAACTATCAATCAACTACAATCACATTTTGATTAAAAAAAAGCCAATACGCGCCGTCCTCCGAGCTGGACACATTACATTGGTCTCTATCTGCAGCCGGAGAAGAAACGAGTGCTCAGGGACCGTCTGCAAAGTGCATCCCCGAAAAAAGAATACAATAATATTCAATCACTATTATACAGCTTATTTCTACCAAACTCACTACACACATCAATAGTCTCCTGTGTGTCATACTACAGCAGTGGTTCTCAAACGTTTTCTGTCAGGCCCCCCCTTTGGAGAAAAAAAAAAGTCGGGCCCCCCCAACACAAATAGTCAGGCTCAGTGGCAGCGCTAGAGATGTATTTTGGGGGTGCTGTGGGGTAGCTTGACGTTTCATCGAGGGTGCTCAAACATTTAGGGTTTCCCATTAATGTACCGGGTGCTACAGTTGAGTTTTCTACTGCAACACTCCCCACGCAAATACACAGTGTACCCGCAACTGTTACAATGAAGGCTCGATATCAGCTCACGGCATAAGCAGGGGTAAAGTGCTATTTTTATAGGTGGTGTGTGGACCTCACATAGGGGGGTCCGGGGGCAAGCTCCCCCGGGAAGATTTTTAAATATTGAAGTTGAAAGCATCAATCTGGTGCACTTTGAGAGCAACATGAAGAGATCTATGGATACATCTCTCAACACCCATTTGAAACAGAACTGTAAACAGATTTACTTTTTCTTTATGGATATTTTACAAATCACTCCCTTTTAAACTTTATTCTTTTTTTAATGTCATATAGTATTTCATACCTGTTTTTCATTTATTCTCTTGTTTTTTTATAACTATAATGATCATATAAATGTGTGCCTCGGAAATAATTGTTTACATTAATGGTGACCAAAACATTTGAGACCCACTGAGGTGGGGTAGATAATTTTGGAGAAACCAGCTCGAGTGCACTATAATTTGAAAATACACAGCCGGAAAAAATCTGCCACTTCCTTACAGAGCCCCTCCTCCAACACACACGAACGCGCACATGACCAATGAGGGCACAAGATAAGTTTGTGCACAGATGGAAGGCTGACAGGCAGGTAGGCCATCCAGTTATTTTAGCCGGGCCGGCTCAGATGATTGGTCGTGCTTTTTACAGTACTACGGCTTCCACAGATGAACTTTTTTGTATGGATTTGTTGTCAAAGCACTTAAGATATTCATTGCTATCGGGATGTTAAGAGCATTCCATGGAATATAACAAAAAGTGTTTCTCAAGCCGGTTTCTCAAACTTCTACCGCACCTTTAAATGTTTAAAGTTTATTACATACTGAGTTTTACTTTTGTAATTTTGGCAATGATTCCTAACAATGATTATTAGATTAGAGATCAGGGATCCATAATCTAAACAGCAGCTTTGCAAGAATACATTAAATCAGTTGGACAATTAAAGAGTTTGTAAGCAAGCAAGCAGTTTAACCACATTATTTTAAATGTTGTTTTTTTTTTTTTTTTAAAGTAAAACCAATAGTGGCTAAACCCTTATTGTGATTCTTCTTTGACTACCATTAGGCATGTTTTGATTTGGTTGATATCATTGCAAACAGCAACCGTCCTTCTTTAGTCTGTGTAATGGAAACAACCAATCAACAGGTCTGACAGTAGAGAGCTATGTGTGATTGCACTGAAGTGCCAGTTGATGAATTAGTGTGTAAAAGTTAGTGCTGGGGGGAAACGATTATTTTGAAAACGATTAATCGGGCGATTATTTGATCGATTAGTCGACTAATCTAACGATTATTTTTCTGTTGTTCAATTCATAAAAAACGTAATGTAAAAAAAACGTAATGTAAAAAAAATTTTTTTTCACGATACTGTGTCTCAGGGGATCTTAATATTTAAGAACCTATTAATGTGTTATACCAGATTCACGGAAATAATCTCAGCTAACTGACGATACAAACCATGTTTACCAAAACAAAACACAAGTCTCATAAGAAGCATCTAAATGACCCCTGAGCGAAAAATGCTAACGGACATTGGCACAGAACTCAAGATAAAAGTACCCTTATTACTTATCGTAGCTGCACATACAAGATATCCGATTAAAGCTGAGACTCCATAGATTATGTAGGTATATAGTATCATCACTGAGTGATCCGGACTCGCGACAGGGGAAGCAAATACAGTCATCACAACACGTACCTTCACAGAGCTTCTAGGGAGATCGTCTCACCACCGTAATCTGATCAAAAGACGTGTTCAATGGCAATAAAATGAGAAAAAACGCGGCTGAATCGGTTAATCCATAGGTTCTTAACGTCTATGTATAAAAAAATGATTGAATTTATAATCCATAATTCCATTTTATGTAAAAATCGGAGAGCAAATGCTAGCTGCTAATGGTAGCCACCACAGCTAGCTGCTGCTTCTGCTAGGCTATGCAGCAGTCTCAGTGAGATATAAATATATAAATATCTTTGCGTTTTGGACTAACTTTAAAATATTCCCATGCTTTTGAAGACCTAGGGCGAGATGTTTTCGTTTGGGGGCTTCGTGCGCAATCCTGTGAGGAGGAGGTGATAGCCGTTTCAGTCTCCATTGTGTTTGAAGTGCGATTGCGAACTGCTTGTTGCTTTGGGTGACCCACGTGTGTGTAGCGACGCGTCGACGCGGAAATATGTCGTCGACGATATTTTGAAGTCGACGCGTCGCTACAGCACTAGTAAAAGTGACTCACCGTTGGGACGTATTCAGAGGGAAACTTGTTGGTGGTGTAGGAGATAAGCAGGCAAGTCTTTCCCACCGCACCATCACCCACCACCACACACTTTATGGTCTGCATCTGAGGAGGAGGAAGCAGACAGGAAGTGAAGGAGAGAAGCGACAGGGGGGGGGGGGGGGGGGCACAGAAAGCCTTCTGTTGATTGAAGAGCCAAGGAAAGACTTCTTACTCTTCTATTAAAAAAATGCAATATTAAAACTTGTAAACATACTGGTGTATTTGTGTCATTGTAATTAAATAGACAAACACTAATTAATCTGAATGGACAGCTTAACAAATAACATGTATTATTATTCAGTTCACATCTGGACACATGTTATATTCTGATATTTTAGGTTTCTGTAAACACACATTTTGTTCAAATAAGTACCCTGAATGTTTGGATCTACAGAGCACATGGGATCAAATTGGTGCTTTTCCTCAGACAACAGTAAATGTGGGAAATATTATGTTAGTGGATCCTGGTGCATTAACAGTATGCGCATGATGATGGCATCACGCCAGAGAAGTCTATTGCTCTTAAGACAACTCAATAGTAATAGGCATATGTCCTTTTATTTTTACATTAATGTCAAACATCTATAAGAATTATAACTTCCTTTTTTAAATTGTTTTTATAAATTGGACGAGCTCTAGTTGATAATAAAGGAATCATTTGCTGCCATTGGTATCTAAATCATGAATCAATAATATATTGATGCCGTACATTTTCTCTTACACATTATTGTTGCCCTGACATTTGATCAAACTGCAGAACCTTGTTTCTTTTAGATATTGAGAAGTGTATTCTATTCTGCATTGTGTCTCCCTCCAAAGCTGTAAAGATCCACAGACCTTAACACCTAAATCCCTAACACTCACAGATTGCATTTATCAACATTACAAATGTCACATGCAACCTAAACAATTGTTGTTTTAAGATGTAGGCCTTTAGAATCACTCCATTTGAACATGCATACTAAAGTACAGCTGGAAATGATCAAACGACAGCTAGATGACAGTATATTAACTAAACTGATCATTAAGTAGCCAAAAATCCCCTTCTCCATGCTCCCTTGAAAATACTAATATCCACTAGTTTAAGAAGATATTTCTGTATCTAGACTCTTGGTCAGGTAAGAGGTCGAATGTGAGGATTTGTCTACTTGGGAACTGTAAAACTGTGACTTGTTTTCTGGTCTCGAAGGTGTAGCTGCATGTAAACAACCTGCATTAGCCTGTATCAGGTTGACTGGGATGCCATGAGCGTCCGTAAGCAGAAGCAGTGATACAGAAACAGAGGTAGCTGTGTATCGCAGTGTTTATTACACACACCGTTGGAGATCCTGTGACCAAGCAGACGCTGAGCCGCTTGCATACCCAGGCTGGCGCTTCATTAGGGGGGACAATGGTAAAGGGGTATGCGCTGCCACTTCATCACTGGCCCTTTGTTTGGGCCTTTTGGCCGTGGCAGCACTCCGCTGAACTCTGATGAGTCAGGACCAACTTAACTGGTCATCTGCAGAACCCATTCCTCTGAGATATTTGTGCAAACACAAGCAGACTGGAAAACGTAGCCTAAAGGGGTCAAACGTATGTTGAATGCACTATTGTTTCTTCTACATGTCTGCATCAAGCCGGTTCTGTTTCGGAGATGCAACAAGATCACTTTAAAGCCACTTCTCTTTCACTCTATGCCGTTTCATGCTCATCAGAAGAACCTATGGACTCTAGAGGATTACTGCTGGAAACAAAGGTGACAAATGTCATTGTCAAAAGACAACACTATCCTTCCTAGTAATTAAATAAGAGGGTCAAATATTTAACGTCTTCAGCTCATCAAATGTCAGGGTGTGCTGAATGTTTCTATCTAATTTTCATTTGAGTTTCGGACTGTTTGTTGCATAAAATAACACAATCCAAAATGTGATCTTGTTTTCAGCAAACTGTTGTACACTACGCAATTAATCATAAAATAAATATGCACATTAATATTCACAACAATTGTAATCACGTTTTCAAAATAGGATTATTTGACTCAATCAACTTTAGGATGTGGGTGTGTGTACATCTGTATGTATAATCTTCATTCAAAACAATTATACAAATATTTTTTTTTTCTTTATTTAAGTATTATTTATTTAGATTTGCATGTGTGAGCTATTGCCCCATAGACTTTAGATTATCTGGTTGCAGCTCTCCTTAATCTGAGGATTTATTATTTAAAAAAGGCTATTTTGGTTGCGGGAAATTGATCTTTATAACGAATAATCAGCCCAAAGAATATACATTGCATGCATCTATATTTCTACTGTAAGACATCAAGATGTGCAGGCACTACAAAAACATGTTCTAAAGGTTAAAGAATATGCATCTTAAAAATAAATGCATATGTTGTATAAAGTTAGCAATTAGGCAAATATCAAAATAATAACAAATACAAATCTTGTCAGATATTTGTATTTCTTTATCTTTTCTGTGAGGTTGTATTGTTATGTCATTATACTGTCGTGTTTGTTATGTTATGTTGTTGTAACCTGTTTAAAAACATATTTGAGATAATTGCTGGTTCATTTTTCTGTCACTCAACTTCAACTCTAACTAATATTAAGCTGAAGATATCGATTAGCCAAACTCAGACGGCTTAAATCGATTTAATTAGAAGTTGTTTTAGCTATGAATGATGTGACATCCCTCTCATTTCAATCATGTTTTACTGCTTTTCAGTCACTTCCGCATAGAAAACAGTGGTAAAAACGTAAAGAAAATCGAATTAGTGTCTTTATCCTAGGATATTAGTTTATTTGTATGGAGCTAAAGTTATGAAATGGTGATGTTACTACTTGTTGACTTCATTTAAAAAGGTCACCAAGTGTGGAAAAGTGTACTCTTGCGAAGCTAGCCTACGTTAGCAAAGTTGGGTTCGTGGCTAACGTAAAAGTTACATCCGCCGGTCCCCCACCCATAACAGAAAAGCCTGTTTTAAACGAGTTTCCCATGAAAATAACGAGAGCACTATTCAGGGGCTTGGCGTGTATTTTGTCATGAATACGCAGTCCTATCATTTCTCAGGTTTGACCACACCGGTAACTTTTCTAGCAGAGATTTAACTTAACAGCACAAGCTAGCAGAGTTAGCTAGCAGAGTTAGCAAGCATTAAAGGAAATCGTTTGTTTTGACAGCTGTCTGTTAGCCGAGTGAGCTGTCAGCAGGCTAACAGCGACAGCTTTTACAATAAAAATACTCATTTTTACTTAAATTGGTGTCTTTCTGCTAATAATTTGAAATGGTTGGTTAGTAAATCACAGTTAAAGAAGGTGACAGCCACTACCTTGTTTCTTCTCACCGCTGGAGTGCTGTAATGTTGTGCTACGTTCAGGTGCTTCCCGTAAACTCCCCCTTCCCCCGGGGCGAAAGCCGGAAATATGGCTTGTGGTATATTCAGGTCCCGCTGGAATTACCAACGTTAATATGATTTTTGTTTCTGCAATGTATTGTTTGGTTACCTCAATATTTTCTCCTTCTACTGTGACCCTTAGGTCTAATTATGGTTATTTTTGATATGTTAAGGTGAACAATTCCCAACGTATTTGTTTAAATAATTTAAATGTTTTTAATGTCTATTTGACTTCACCCTTATTTAATTGCTAACACACTGACATGACACATAAGGCACGATTACTGAAAATGACACCAGAGGACCTCAGCTCAGATATTCACAACTATAAACACATTCACAGCCTCATACCTTTTGCAAAAATAGCCTACTTAACACACAAGACTCATATGTCAAACATGATGTAGCCTAACTTATTGGCCTTTTCAAGGCACATTTAAAGAGTGGTATTTGGCACGATATAAATACAAAATGACTTCCCTTGCCTTACAAAATACATTACTTTGAACCAATTAATTTAACAAAACATACTTAAAGTAATTGTAAAGTCACTTTCATTAGGCGTGAGCACTTTAAAAAGGCAAAAGGCGAGTGTGCCGCTTTTTTTGTATCTCTACAAATTATGTTGTTGTTTTTAAGCCCTATATATTATACAGAATATGTATTTTCTGATTTTCAGGGCATATTACTACTTTTGTTTTGTATGAAGTATTTCATTTTGCTAAGTGTTCTGCTACTTGTGTGTTTGGAGGTGTGAATTGCGTGAGTTTTGTGTCATGTTTTGACAAATAGGCTTAAGCAATCACAAAAAATTGTACAAGTGTTAAACCCTGGAGATAATTCAAACACTCCCTGAAGGTAGCAGGGCTTCTCAATTCATTGGGTTCCTTTAAAATGTAAAGGTATTCTTTAATATGTGTGATTTACTGTATTGTAAAGTGTAACTTCCATTGACAGAATAATAATCATAATAAATGTAATAATGTTAAACTCGTAACTCAGTGTCTATTGAGGTCAACTGAAAGATGGGTTGTTTCTCAGACACCAGCAGAGGGAGATGAAGTGCAGCCCAGTTGGTGTTTTTAGGGTTATGCATTGCTAACAGGGAAGAGCCATTTTAGCAGAGGCTAAGGGCAGTTACATTTAATGTATTTGCTACAGTATGTGCCCATTCTCTTATTTCAGGCATTTCCGTATATTGTCAACTGCATTATGCACAAAGTAAACAGGCTTTATGTGTAATTGTAGGCTACTGTATGCATCAACTCTAACATCCATTATGATTTTTCACATGAATATACCTTTTGGCTATAACCAATATGATACACGGTATGCATTTCAATTAAGATGAGCTAATGAGTAATGCAGGCCAAACAGGTTGAACATGTGAGTTTAAAAATAGGTTTACCTGCATTCCTGTGGTGAATGTGTGGAAACATGATGATTCACTTAGTTCTGACCCACAATGTGGCCCGTACATTTATCAAGGTCCACTTACCAGAAAGAAGATTGTGGATGAGAGCACCAGAGATGTGGACGAGTTGGTCTTAAAAGCCATTGAGACATGATTCACTTAATAATAATGAACTTTGGAGATAAAAGCATCATTTATGTTACGTCCATGCATGCAGGCTGAATTGATGTCTCTCATCATTTTTGTAATCCTGCAATTATTTAGTAATTCTAACAATGACAGATTGAAATATCATCTGAACATAGCATCTGGTATGTTGTATTAAGATAAGTGAATAAGAGATAGGCCTATCATCTTTTGAGTTTCTCTGTTGGTTACAATAAAAAAGTGAGTATTAAGCGTGGGTAGCGATAGACAGAGTTCATCAACAAGAAATGAATCGGTAATATGAGAGGCAGGGACAAACTAATAAGGGCTTTCTGCATTATGTCTTCAATATTTTTTTGTTTTGGCCCTTCTGGCAGGCAGTGGTGTGGAGAGGAGCACGCTGAGGGAAAGGCCAGTCGACCTTCAGTGGTAACGCAGCAGAAAATGAGATCATTACAATGCAAGGCACTTCTCCATTACACTTTCCCTCCGGAAGTCTTCTCTTTTTTCTTCATCACACTTTGATCTCTATTCTGTGCTTTTTTCCCTCTTCCCTTTGTTGTTGCCTCCTGGTTTTATCTCTTCTCGCTCGCCTCTTCTTCATCTTGCTCTCTCTCTTTTTAAATATACTGTATGTGTGTGAGTGTCTCTATCAGTCGCTCACCCCGTGGCTAACCGGGGGATGGATGTCAAGGACGTTGTGCTGCGTGTCTCCCAACGATAATCCCATTAAACTCAGGAATTTAATTATAGATGATCTCACAAGCTCACACTCACACACAAACACGTGCTTACAGGTGCACGTTGCACCTGCCTGTGCGCAGAAACCCAGATTAATACACATAAATACAGAAACTATGATCGAGATAACACATTTGCATCATACACTATCACAAAAAAAGACATCGACGCACACACTGAACACACTTTGGCTTCACCCTGGTGGTGCCCCGTCAGTGTGTATCAGTGTCACCCTCCAGACGGCATCAACAACTTCCCCAGTCTGTTTTTAGAGCAGGAAGGACGCAGCCCAACGCGGTTTTGCAGTGGACGAAGGAAGTGGAACAAATAGCCACTGTAGCTGCCACACAGGATGAATGTGCAGGAATATTTTAGAGATTCTAACAACAGTTCTATTACACCTGATATCTGTTTTACATTTCCTATATATATGTTCCTATAGTTTTTTACAATAACATTTTGTACATTGGTCAATAATAAAGACACTTCAAAACAGTATATTATCCACAGGCATTTTGGCTGAACAGTTACATTTCCCCTGCAAAACCACAAAAACACTTCATACATGTTTTAAAATGAGCTTTTTCTACCGTTATGCTTTATCTATTCTAAATTAGAAAGCAATCATCCCTATTAACACATTTACTATGAATAACATATTTGTACTCAATGTACCAAAGTATGTGAAAAGAATATAGATATAGTAACAGGTGTGCATTCAGACGGTCTCCTAAAAAAATACATTCCTATACAATAAAACTGCATTGACTTGTTGAATTGATTGATTGATTGATTGATTGAATTCTCATATTTCATGTTGGGGTTTTGTGAGCCACCACATAGCACACCTGGATCAGATACACCATTTCCCCTTTCCTGCTTTCAAAGGGATTTCTGCTGCTGCATTGTTTGTGCGTTAAATGCTATCACACACACACACACACACACACACACACACACACACACACACACACACACACACACACACACACACACACACACACACACACACACACACACACACACACACACACACACACACACACACACACACACACACACACACACACACACACACAGAGCATCATCATGTCTGAGTGTGGTGGAGAAGGAAGTGATTATGTAACTGTATAGCAACTGAACCCCACTGCAGCACCAGAGAGGAGGACAGGGAGACACAGAGGGAGGGAGGGAGGGAGCCGGTCCTCCCCTTCATCTATTTTTACCTCCTCTGTGGGGCGACGAGCGTCTGCACCCCATCCTTATCCCTTCATCCCACCCCTTCGTCCATCTCCTCCTTTTTAATTAACCCTCCTCTACTCCTCCTCTTCCTCTCTCCATCTCCCTCTGAGTCATCTCCCCTCCCCTCCCCCTGTGTCACACATCTCGCCCCCCCCCTCCCCCCTCCTGTTTTCCTTCTCCCTCTCTCTTGCTCAGCCTCTCCACTATTCTCTCGGTTGCCGTGAAAGGCAGAACACACACAGGCGGCAGGTAAAGGAAGGAAATCCTCTCTTCCTCTTTTCATACGCTCATGAGGTTTTGTGTTTATCCATCCATTGTCTTTTTCTTTTGATCTCATATTGATTGGCTGCTGATTGGTACAGAGAGGATGCAGAATGATGCCGCTTGTGTGTGTGAGATAGAAATGCTTCAGTTTAAGGTGCTATCCTATGTGTGTGTGTGTTTGTGCTTCATGCATGTGTGTGTGTATGTGTATGTGTGTGTGTGTGTGTGTGTGTGTGTGTGTGTGTGTGTGTGTGTGTGTGTGTGTGTGTGTGTGTGTGTGTGTGAGTGTGTGTAAAAAAGACATACCGCATATGTGTGTAGGTGTCAGTTGTAGGTGTTACTGTGTGTGTGAATGTGATTTTGCTTCATGGCTGTCAAATATATATGTGTGTGTGCGGGTGAAAGGAGGAAGGTAGTGAATTGTGAGTGTGTGTTGCAGCCCTATACGTGTGCAAGATTGGATCCTGCAATCCAGTGTGTGTGTGTTCTAAATGGTTGATGTATTTTACTGTAATTTGGCAAGCTCTGGAAGCAATATATGTGTGTGTGTGTGTGTGTTATTATGTTTCACGCATTCTCTGGAAAACAGTCTGTTTATTTCTATGTTCAAAGCGATGATTTATGTGTTTATCTACTCATGGATTTCTTGTCAAAATGGCTTTCGAGCATGTGTGTGTGTGTGTGTTCAGGTGAGTTTTGGCCACACCAATATTGTGTGTGTGTGTGTGTGTGTGTGTGTCCTTGTACGTGTTTGATGGGAGCCTTCAGTCAATTATGGTAGAGTCATCCTCGGTATATCAAGTGTGTAAGATGGTTGATGTGTGTATGGCTGGCACAGGAGTGTGTGTGCGTGTGTGTGTTTGCGTGTGTGTGTGTGTGTGTGTGTGTGTGTGTGTGTGTGTGTGTGTGTGTGAGAGTTTTGGCCAAGGGAAATCTATGTAATATGCTCATGTAGTAAATTATGACCGAGTCCCTTGTTTGTCAGGTGTGTGTGTTTGATGGTGCATCTTTTTTTAATATAGCCAGCATCGGCATATTTGTGTGTTTGTCAAACCTGAGACGATAGCATTCAGCACATGTGAGTGTATGCTCTGGCAACAGAAACAATGTGTGTGTGTGTGTGTGTGAGATCTTGCAGTCAATTATGAGTCCCATGTGTGAGATATTGGTATCATGGAAGGCACAGAAATGTGTTTATGTGTGAGTGTGAGTGCACGCTTAATATCTGCATCTTTGCCACTCTGTGTGGGTGGATGTAATGTGTGTGTCAGAGTACTTGTAATTATTGCAAGTCAAAAATATGTGGGTAAATGGGGACACACTCTTAGCATTATGCTTGAGACTGCTCCACTATGTGTGTGTGTGTGTGTGTGTGTGTGCGTGTGTGTTTGGCATACGTGCGAGACCATCAGCCTTCTGTTCCCCCTCTTACTCTTCATCCTCCTCCCTCTCTTCATCCCCCCATTCCTCCTCTCTTCTCCAGCCAAACAGGGTCATTTAATAATTTATCTCTGCCTCTCTCTCTCTCTCTCTCTCTCTCTCTCTCTCTCTCTCTCTCTCTCTCTCTCTCTCTCTCTCTCTCTCTCCCTCTCGCCTCTCTTGCCCTGCCTTGTTTCCACTCTCCATTTCGTCCTCCATTGCTCCTTCCATCTCTTTCTCTCAATTTCAATTTCAGTATGGCTGTTTTGGCACGAATGTCAGGTGAACACTATTGTAACAATTTCTCTCTCTTGGCTCTCCTTCCTCCTGAACATGTCTCCATTCCTCTCTCATTACAGTCTCTTTTCTTCTTCTGTTATTTTCTTTTCACTCTTCCCTTTCTTCATCTGTGTCTATCCTTTCATTCCCTAACCTTTCTCCTGGTATTTCTCCCTTTCTCGCGCCATATGTTTTATTGATTTTCCAATCATGAAATGGAAGACATTTATTCTTACAGATATATATCTTTTTAACATAGATTTCTATATAAAGTAAGGATGAGTTATATCAGACTACCCAACTTCTTCGTCATAGTTAGTGTTTGTAATAGTCTCCTGGTTGAGCAAGAAATGAACTATGTTATATATCTGAAAATAAAAACAGTGCTTTATGTTTACTGACAAAATAATCTTAACAAAAGGTCTTATTGTTGGAGTTTGTTCAGTTGTCATTGTTAGTTAGTAGCTGTTGCATTCTGGGCCAATTTTGGATGACTTCAGCAACTATGATGCAGCGTTTTTGACCAAACGCTACAAAGGACCCTCATGCATTTGTTTTTGTTGTACATGGGAGCAGAGATCAGCCATAGCTAACTGACAGAGGAAATACAGTTTAATAAACCAAGAATATTGTGACATTATCCCGGTCAACACTGAGGAAATCAGTAAAAGTATGACATTGAACTTTACAGTTTAATACTTGTCAAACCAATATGCATTATCTAACGTATTTCAAAATGGCACTGTGCTGAGAGAGTTTTGTCATTGGGATTTACAAGAAACATTTGGAAAAACATTGAAATATCATGAATTATAATGACTTCATCCAGAGAATCTGGTCATTTTAAAACAGGAGATTTTCTGTGTCCCAGCACAAACGGGAAAAGCTCTGTTTGCTGTAGTTCTTTGCAGGAGACAAGAAGAGTGCATGACCCATGACATCATCTGTGTCATTTTCTTCCAGACTTTAGATAATGACGAATATAATACACCTCATGATTATTAAACTGATCTGCCCCTTTAATCTTAAAGAATACAAATCAATCCGGAGATCAGAGATCCAGCATTTTTATCCAGCATTTCTTCCATTTTGTATCTCTTGCCTGATCATTCGTTTTCTTCCTTGTCCCGTCTTTGCATAGATACTGAAGATATGATGATGATGCTCATGTTCTCTCTCCTTGCGTGCCTTCATCCCTCTCTCCCTCATTCACTCTCTCCCTGGCACGACCACTCACGTGTTATTCTTTCAGTGCTGGTATATTTTCTGCTGAGCACTGCAGTCCCTGGTAGGTGTGGTGTTGTGCGTTCATGGGTGTCCTCCCTCTCCCTGCTGCTGCTGTAGAGCTTTACGTAACCCACAGCACAAACAGCAACGGGTGAGAGACACAGAGAGAAAGGGAGGAAGAGAGAGGAGATAAGAGTTATGAGATGAACTCATGACAGGAGGAATATGTGTTTATGGATATGAGATAAGAACACCTTTCTGATGTAGTACATCCATGACTTGTGCTCACATTTTGAGAATAAAATCAAAATATTGATAATAAAGTAGAATAATAATTTCAATAATAAAGCTGAAATGTCTAAAATAAATATTAAATGTTTAAAACTACTTGCGTTAGCAGGAATCCTAATAATTATGCTTTGTTCTCAACATTTCTACCATATTTCTGAAATGCAAAATGATACAAATATCTTCATCTTTTCCTTATGCCTGGCCATATATCCTTCATACAAAACATATGTCCATACACAAATATCTAATATTATGGGCTGGTACATTTATAGCCACACATACAACATTGCTCTATGGAAATGTCGACTTGTTGATTTTTTCACCATGTCGGTCGTAATCGATTTAGCCATGCTTCCACTTGTCTAAAATGTTGACTTTTAACTAATCTTGCATATAACGACATTCCTATCAGCCTCAGCTGTTATTCTCACTACAACTATTCTAGATGTAAAAATGATGTCAAACATTTGGCATGCGTCCTGTATCCGGCTGCTCCACCCTCAGGAGGAACTTTGGAAAACTGCAGTACTCTTGGGTGGGGCTTCAAAACAGCAACAAAGAGAGAGGGAGAGAAAGGCCATAAAATGAAAGAAGCCACTAGTGAAAATCGCACACGCATCAATCCCCTCGACTTTTCAGGTGTGTACGTTTTTGTATGCTGGCGACGATTAAGGCACCTTATCTGCTGTTTCTTATACTCAGCACCATTTATACATTTTACACATTTTGCTGACGCTTTGTCGCCTGCGACTTACAGAGTGTAAGACCTGAATAAGCATAAATGGGTAGGTCGTCGACGTTGTGATCAACCAACAGTGGGGGGGAAGTGGATAGAAATACATCTGAGTTACCTTTGAGGAGTGCTGAGCAAAGGCAAAGGACAGCATGAAAAGACATGAGGAGTAATGGGGTTTAACGGCAACACTCAGTGGAATGTATGTCCCTGAGGGAGAGCAGAAGGGTGATGAGCAAAATAATACATGTGCATCATTTCATGTCTTCAGTAAGGTTTTATATAAATAGAATGTGTTTGAGATAAACAGCAGAAGGAGATTATAGGACATAATACAACAACAGCTTAAAAAGAGAGAGAGAGAGCTGTTAAAAACATATGTGGGAATCTGTGTTGTTAATCAGGTTACAAGAGATAGAAAAAAACAAGAGGAAAAGGAACGATTATATAAGGGAAAGACATACGACACAAGAATAAGACCACCTTTCACTCAATTCAAATTACATAGCAAACACACCCACTTTGACAAAATAATGAAAATACGCGACGTAAAATAAAACACATTATTGTTAATGTTCAAACATAAATTCTTGAGTGAAAACAGAGCCAGATTTTTTATTCCACTATATTTACTATGTACAATTTCAGATTAATAACACAAAATACAGCTGACAAATGAATTATGATATTATTATATCAGTAAGACTGATCCTGAGGTGAAGAAATATTCAAGCCAATAAATGAATTGACATAAAAGAAAATGTTTTAAAAGTAGCTCCACATTTACCAGCTGTATTTTTAAGTTATGTATACATTAGTGTTGAGACATTTGTGTCTCGTCAAATGTGTTGGTTTTGTTTATGTATTATGTCTGTCATTTTCATGTTTTCTCACGTCTGGTCGTGTCTGTTTATTTAGGTTCTTCATCTCTAGTCAGTCTCTCTGTTTATTGTCATGTCTCGTTTTCCATTTCCTGTTCTATTTTGTACTTACCTCTTGTCTTTCATTTCAGGCCCTGTTTCTTCCTCCCCTTGTGTGTTGTTCCCACCATCATCAGCGTCTGCCCCACCCCTGATTGTTTCCACCTGTCCCCACTCACCTCATGGTTAAATAGTCCTGTCTCTCCCCTGTCCTGTGTCAGTTCGTCTTGTTTGTTTCCCTGAATGGTCGTGCCAAGCCTCAGCTCAGAAAGGATCGCTTTCACTCATGTCAGGTTTTGTAGTTTTGTTAATTTTGTAGGCTTAAGTTTTTCTTAAGTTCTCTTTTTGTTATGCCTAGTTTTTTCCTCCTCGTGAGCGCCTTTTGTTATTTCCAGTACCTACTCTGTTAAGAGGGATTACCTGATCTGGGAAATGAAAATTAAAAATGTTTTTACATTCAAGACTTTATCTCTGGGTCGTGCATTTGGGTTCATCAGTTTGTATCGAGGTCGTGACAATTAGTCCTTAAATATTATATGATTCTGATATGGTTCATACTGCAATATTTCTATTTGTATTCATTGTTATGCTTATATTTGTTTACACTTTGGTCCTACCAGAGGAAGCTTCAGTCCTTTCAGCAACTGGGAGTTACAAATTAACACTTTATATTCTGGCTTAGTGGCACAGGTAATGGAACTGAGCCATCAATGATATATTTAATAATACCTGCACATCTTGCCTATTACTTAAAATGTCTGCTGTGAAGAAGTTCTGAATCATTGTACCCGCTAACATTTAATTTGTCCCCAGCTTTGGCTCCAAACTGCCCCCTATCTGTCTCTCTGCTGGCAACGCAGTGTAGTTTTGCAGTGATGAATGCACACTTAAGAGGAAGATGAGAAAATGTGTGTGTACAGGAGTGAACACATCCTCTCTGTCAGTGTCTTTGCAAGGACAGGTTTCTGCGAGATAGCCGTGTGCCAGTTTTTGCTCCTCTCAGATCGATAAAGTATTCATATAGTACGGAGACGAGGACAGCATAAAAGGCTTCTTTTGATATATCGTTGCAGTGCTGCGATTAAAAGAGCAGAGACACCCACAGAGGAGAGAAGCTCAGGGATGATAGGGAAATGACAACGAGGATGGAGACTCTAATGTTTGTTAGGATTGTGGATGGTATTGATATCACGGTAATACAGGAATTTAGAATGTAACCTTCCTGGTCCTCAAGTCAAATGTGACCCCTTTCAAAATGTTTAAAAACAAGAAATATGAGTTAGTTACCTAATTACCCCTAACAAAAGTCAGGATGGTTCCATCGCAATCTTGCAAAAACAATTAACAAGGACTTATTTAATTGAATGAATGGTATTAGATGGTTTGTTATTTAAGCTTTTTTTACTTAAATGAGGTACATTCACAGAAATTAGGTCTTTTATCAATAAATTCCGATTCAACTTGACTAAGAAGGTGTTACACAGAATTGGGTCATAAGGAACATACTATATGAACTCTAAGCAGTCAAAAGTTGCATTGTCAATGGAAAAACAACACAAACAGAACCAACACATTTTAAATCTACTGAGCAGTTCAGTCTCTCACAGCGAGGAGCTAAAGAAAAACAAGTCCTTTCATTAAGTGACTTGAAATGAAAGTGAGATTAGACTGCAAAGTGAAAATAGTTTGTTTTAGATGTAATTGAATTGCTCTGTAAATTCAATCCATATTGATTTCTGCTTGAAATCTGATCTGAATGTGTCTCGCTCTTTGGTACTTTTAAAACATTAACATTGATAGCTAAGATTGTTTGTAGGTCTAATTTCCCACTTTCAATCGAAGTGGATTCGTCCAGTAAAGGCTCAATATGCAGCTTTTTCCTAAAATATGTATAGTCTATCCAGAAATAATCCTTAATCTTCATTTATGACCTACTAAAAGTGTGTGGTGTCAGTTTCAACAGAGACTGCCCTATGACTGTATTTTCTACTTTTTTCATTTTGTTTGTTTTCAACACATTACCTTCGCCTAAGTTTGGTGTTGAGTCCACAAGTAGAAAAACGATGAACTGCCATGATAAATGAGCAGCAATATTTATTGTACTATATTATAAATATACTGAATGAAGAATGGGTTTTGATTTAAGAATCTTCGTGAATCGTTTTTTGAATCAAATTGTGATATCGAAAGAGTCACACACCTAAAAGATTTGCTGGACTGAAGCGTTGTCAAACGTGTGTGTGTGTGTGTGTGTGTGTGTGTGTGTGTGTGTGTGTGTGTGTGTGTGTGTGTGTGTGTGTGTGTGTGTGTGTGTGTGTGTGTGTGTGTGTGGTGTGTGTGTGTGTGTGTGTGTGTGTGTGTGTGTGTGTGTGTGTGTGAGTGAGTGAGATTTCTCTGTGGTGAGCTTTGATTTTCAGAGTGAGTCTGCAGTGGTGTTGTTTCTTGACTCCCCTGACAGGCTGTTCTGTGTGTGTGTGTTTGATGTAAAATAAATCTTTTACCCATCATCCTTTATTCTCTCTCCCTCTCCCTCCTCTTAAATTCAATCTGAAGCTGCCATATCTAATTTAATTGTCAAAAATGTAAACGTTTTTCGATGCACAATAGCTATAACAAGGTAAAACATAACGTTGCCTCTTTTCCTCCCTGCCTCTCAGGATGTCGATCGTTAGCATCGTTGCCAGGGAGATCTTGGACTCGCGGGGAAACCCCACTGTGGAAGTGGACCTTAACACAGAGAAAGGTGACTGCCGACAAGCCTGTCTGCAAATATCAGAGCAACGGAAAAATAATAACATAATGTAATGGATGCCTGCTTAGATTCATCATGTCAGAAATGTGCCAGAAAGCGTTAGGAAAGCTTAGCAACGCAACAGTCACAATGCTGAAAATATAAATAGTTTCTGACGTCAAACGACCTTCCTTTGACCTCTGTCCAGATCAATCAGTCTACAGTTAAGGGCATTGGGGCATAGAGCCATCATTTTCTAGGCCAGGGGTCTGCAACCTTTTTGACCAAAAGAGCCATTTTGCTCGTTTTTCCACAAAAAAAATGTGTCTGGAGCTGCAAAACATATTTCATAGCTTGATAGCTTATAAAGTTGTATTTATTGTTATATCAGACAAGAACTACAGTTTTTTTGCATTTATTAGGCTATTTATTACATTATATAAAACTGTTAACCTCCAATAAGAAACAAAGAACTCTTATAAGGAGAATTAAAAATAATACACAGGCCTACTTTAAAATAAATTAAACACAGCACTTGGGGAGTCCTCTGCACATTTGAAGGAAAACAAATATAATTAAAATGGGCCCACTTTGAAATAAATAAAACATATAGCTGCACCCTAAACAGAGTTAAAGGTAGGGTAGGTAAGAATGGAGAAACCAGCTCGAGTGCGCTAGAATTTGAAAATACACAACCGGAAAAAATCTGCCACTTCCTTCAGACTTTCTTACAGAGTCCCTCTTCCAACACACACGAACGCGCACATGACCAATGAGGGCACGAGATAAGTTTGTGCACAGATGGAAGGCTGACAGGTAGGTAGGCCATCCAGCTATTTTAGCCGGGCCGGCTCAAATGATTGGTCGTGCTTTTTACAGAGCTACGGCTGCCAGAGATAAAAAAATGTATGTATTTATTGTCAAAGCATTTAATATATTCATTGCTATCGGAATGTTAAAAGCATTCCATGGAATATAACAAAAAGTGTTTTCTGAAATAAATGACATACCCCATTGAATTATGACTGAAGATCGTCAGCTGTCTTACTCTCCCGTGTTGTTCCTCGATACGTAAAGGCTGCAGTAGAGATGTTCACAAGTCTTTTTTTGCAAGTCCAAGTCAAGTCTCAAGTCTTTGGTCACGAGTCCAAGTCAAGTCTCAAGTCTTTGTGGGGTGAGACTTGATCAAGTCTCAAGACTTTGGTCACGAGTCCAAGTCAAGTCTCAAGTCTCTAAAAAATAAAAGTCTCATGTCTCTTCTGGTTGTAATAAGCCTTCTATTGTCTGCTGCTATCCAGTCTGTTAAGAATACTGCACAGCTATATCTAAGAAATTCAAAGCATTTACTGTATTATTATCACTCCTATATCTATTAGCATACAGTATCAGTACTGATTAGTTGTTTGTTATATGATCACTTTAAACAGGCTATTGCAATGCAATATGAGGACAAACATCACACTTTAGCTAAATGCAAACAACTTATAAGCAAAACACTTCAGAATCAAAAATCAGTATCACAAATACTTTATTAATCCCCCGCAGGGAAACTGTGTTAAAAGTAGGCTACTTAAAAGTACACATTTGTTCTGTGCCATTTGCAACTAAAAAACTATTGCTGCAATATTATCTGAAATATACTGAACTGGTGATATTAAAACATGACCTGTTCCAAAAGAGATATCTACCATTAACACCATTTACCAGCCAAATGCTGGTAAATCATGCAAGTGGCTGGTACTGTATGTTGCACGCACCAGCCACAAATAACAATGGCAATCTATTGAGTAGCTGGTAAAATGTCAACATTCACTAGGCTAGCCATTTGGCCAGTGGACAAAAATGTTAAAATTTGACCTCTGCAACTGTATTGTTTAATTACACTGGGTCTCTAATGACATCTTTTAAGTCTACTATAAATAAACATATTCCTCTATCCTCTCACTCAAACCCAGTGTAATGGTAACCTGATAAACCTGTAACATTAACGTTACGTGGTCAACAATAAACCTGTAACCTGCCTATAAACCGACAGATGTATTTATGTATGTAACTATGTATTTTTCTACGTTTAACGTTAGCCAGTAGATGGTGGCAGCGGAACGTAATGATTAACGTTACCGACCTTTTTTATGTCATGTCAAGAGTTGGATGTCAACGCCACTCAACGCAAACAAGTGTGACAAGCAAACATTCACTCATCTTTTCAAATATTCAGTTACAAAGCTAGTAGCAAGCTAAGTTAACATTACATAGCTGATGCTGAGCTAAACATGTTTGCTAACCGTCCATATGCGTTAATGTGACTGACCTCTCCGGGTGAGTTTTTCAAGTGCCTGATAAAATTTGACGTTGTTGCACCAGCATCCTTGATTTTAATATTGCAGACTTTGCAGTGTGCGCTCCTTTTGTTGGTGCCGCCGGCGTTTTGTTCGAAGTTTTTATAGTTGAACCTAATTACAAGCGGTACAGCTGCAGGTGTGCCGCCGGTCGCCATGGTGTTACCATGATGTTAATGTTAAAGGTGGGGTAGGTAAGTTTGAGAAACCGGCTCGAGATACACTTTTTGTTATATTCCATGGAATGTTCTTAACATCCCGATAGCCGGCCCGGCTAAAGTAACTGGATGGCCTACCTGCCTGTCAGCCTCCCATCGGGGCACAAATGTATCTCGTGCCCTCATTGGTCATGTGCGTTCGTGTGTGTTGGAGGAGGGGCTCTGTGAGGAAGTGGCAGATTTTCTCCGGTTGTGTATTTTCAAATTCTAGCGATCTCGAGCCGGTTTCTCAAACTTACCTACCCCACCTTTAATACGCCAAAAATAGAAAACACAATGATTGTTCACGAGTCCAAGTCGAGTCCGAAGTCTTTTGAGCAGGAGTCCAAGTCAAGTCTGAAGTCTCTGTGTGTGCGACTTAAGTGCGACTCGAGTCCGAGTCACAAACTCGAGTCCCCATCTCTGCGCTGCAGCACCTTTGACAACTTCTCTCTACATATCAAACATACCGGTAAACCAGCATATGTTTGCTGTGAAAACATACACTGAACAAAAATATAAACGCAACACTTTTGTTTTTGCTCCCATTTTTCACGAGATGAACTCAAAGATCTAAAACATTTTCTATACACAAAATAACCTTTATCTCAAATATTGTTCACAAATCTGAAACAATCTGTCATAGTGAGCACTTCTCCTTTGCCGAGATAATCCATCCCACCTCACAGGTGTGGCATATCAAGATGCTGATTAGACAGAATGATTATTGCACAGGTGTGCCTTAGGCTGGCCACAATAAAAGGCCACTCCGAAAACCAGTCAGTATCTGGTGTGAGGGGTAGGGTTAGGTTTAGGGTTAGGGTAATGTTGTGAATCGAGTGGCCTGTGTTCGTCGTCCATAACATACGCCTACCCATACCATAACCCCACCACCACCATGGGCCACTCGATTCACAACATTACCCTAACCCTAACGCGATCGAGGGACTAAATAGTTCGGTGGGAACAAGTACCGGGGGGCTAAGTACTTGGTGTGAAAGCGGCTATTGTGTTCTTTTTAACCAAATATCTCTCAGAGGGGCATTGTGAGTGGCACCTTATTTTCATCTAAAGTAAAAGACAGTGAATCAGGACTTTTGAAACAGGGCTGAAACAGAGGGGATTATGGGATGCTACAATTATCTGTTTGGTTTTTGGAGCCAAACACTTCAGAGACTTGTTTTGTATATCTGAGACCTATAGGGGATGATAGGGGATCTTTAAGTTAATTACAACTCTGACCTGCAGATTGGTTTCCTCCTCTCCTTCATCATTTTTTTTGTTTAAAACCTAATGTTTTTCTCTGTTTGTCTGACTTTCAGGTCTGTTCAGGGCTGCAGTGCCCAGTGGAGCATCCACAGGGATCTACGAGGCTCTAGAGCTACGAGATGGAGATAAGAGCCGCTACAAGGGCAAAGGTACGGGGACAGATCGAATGTGTTTGCATGTGTAATATATTTTCAAAAAGTTCAAGCTATATTATGCAATTTTTGACCAAAAGTGTAGTTCAACACATATTCAATCAATCAATCAATGTTTATTTATATAGCCCAATATCACAAATGTGATTCATATTCAATATAGCCCTATTTTAGATAGCCCTTTTCTTCCACCTGGAGTAACTCATGGTATTTTCTCATGGTGCACAGGTATTCTCGAACCCATAACCCCAGAACTTCTACATACATTTATGATTACAACTCCCTTGATGCTTCCATAGCAAGCCAAAAGCTAGATGTACCACTTTTTATCACTAGATCATTTTTTTTGTTGCTGTTTGGTGTTTAGAAGCTCGTCTGTATTAAACCAATCGTTCAAGATGGCTTTCACGCAGAAAATTGTTTTATTACTAAGGCTAGTACATATTTTCTGCCTTGAACGTCTGAACAAGCGGCTATGTATGTGATTCAATTCATCTTATAGTTGAGGATTTGCTTCCACCTATAGGACACATAAACATTTACCGATCCACACTCAAATTATATTCATGTTGGTGATCTCAGTAATATTGAATCACCCAACAAACTCTCTTGAGTGTCAAACGCAACAGAAGCATGCACAGTCACAGGGACACAAACTTTGGTAGACACTGACAGACATGGTGAATTACGTAATTTGTCTCATGAGGACCATAGCGGTCCCTCATGGATGCGTGGAAAGTATAATTTGCCCTTTGTAGATTTGGTGAGAGCTATAAGACCATATAGCAACCATACAGTCTAGGCGCAGTCCATCTTTACTATACCCTCACTCCATTTTCTCTTTGGTAAAATGTATTTTTCCCTTTTCTTATCGCCTTATCTTAATTTCTCCTCTTTTCTAGGTGTTTTGAAGGCAGTCGGGCACATCAACGACACTTTGGGTCCCGCCCTTTTAGCCTCAGTAAGTCAACAATCATTTATACTCATAAATATATTTAAAGATATATCATGTCTTGTGTTCTCTGTAAGTTCTCAGCAGGCCATACTTAAAGAGGATACAGCATTGCTCTTTTTAAAGAAATAACTTTCAGCAATTGGCCAGTTTAAAGGTTGTGACTGCATTGTCAGCAGAATTTCTCAAAGATATTCTTACTTGAGATTTAGTGGGATGGAAATCCAACTTCACGTTTGGGCTAATTCTCTCAGTTCTGGTGGTTGGTTGTCCCATTCTAGCTCCATTCAGCTTTGCCAAAATGTGGATATTCTGGCGCAAGTGAAGTTGATAGGGCAGTGAGTTTGGACCTTAAATGCGAAGAAAACAACCCTGTGCAGCACGTGACACAAAGTGCATGTTCAGCTGATCGATGTGCAGATGACTATCACACCTGGATGTGCAGACAGGAAGCTGTGAGAAGAAGATGAAGTGTATTCAGCTGTCAGTGACGGAGGGGACGAGTGAGTGTGTGGTGTGAGATACTGTGAATGAAAGATGATAATGTGTCTGTTTGAGAAAGATGTGTGAGTGAGAGGAACAGTGGAGGTAATTGTACTAGTGTGTGAGTATAATAGCATGATCCTGCAGCAGATGTTTTTTCCTGGGAAATGAATGTTCGTGATCAGTCAAGCGGGAAAAAAACAGCTGGGCAGCTCGGAGCTCCTGAACGCCACATCAGAAAGACAGATCAGTCCGGCTGTACTGGTGTGTTTGTGTGTGTGTGTGTGTGTGGGGGGGGGGGGGGTTGTTCGTGTGTGTTGTTTGTGTGTGTATGTGTGTGTGTGACTGATGGCAGAGCAGCTGGCTATCTATAGGCGCTTTCACACCGGAGTACTTTTCCCAGTATAGTTCCGATAGTTCTTGAAATGTTGCATTCACACAAAAAAAATCCGGAACTAGAACTTAGTTAATGAGAACCTTTTCACCCCCTTTTTAGTCCCTGCTAAGCCGCGTTCACACCAAGCACTTTGCCGTACTTAGTTCCCAGCACTTAGTTCCCAGCACTTAGTTTCCCCATGGAACTAAGAGCCGATCGCGTTCACACCGGAATAAGTTCCCTGAGGGAAGATTACGCAAATGAGCCGCTGACGTCACTTCGTCTTCTTCTGCTTTGGGTTTACTGGCAGGCCGCAAACAACTTCACGGCGTATACTGCCACCCGAAAGTCCCCGGCCAGAAGTCCCCGGAGTTGGGGACTGGCTTCTACTGAAGCCTTCCGAGTAAATCGCCAGAACACCGACACTAGGGTTGCCAACCGTCCCGTATTAGCCGGGACGTCCCGTATTTGAGCCAAAAGGGGCGTGTCCCGTACGGGACATTGTTTGTCCCGGATTCCCGGTAAAGGGAAAAATAAAAAATATGTTTCTGTTTGCGCGCAATGCAGTGTGTCTGGCTGCGTGCCTGTGTGTTTGTGTGCTGTATGCGAAGGGCGCTAGGACCGCTCAGTTGACAGGGCAGGCACAATGCTCGCACGTGTGTGTGTGTGTGAGATTTTCGCGGGCGCGGCATCATTGTTTGTGTGTGGCATGTCAGCCTGTTCAGTTGTGCGGGAAAATGAGCGCTGCCGGTGGAGGTGATAATGAAAGAGGAGAAGAGAGAGAGAATGTGGTTCTGGGCCCTGGCCCTTCTAAAAAGAAAAGACTTGTGTCTGTTTTTGGGGGGTTTGACTGCCAAAAACATTTTCGAACCCTAGGAGCTGGCTCCCCCAAAATAATTAAATAACATAACCCTAACCTAACCCTAAAACCGAAATAAAGTAACAAAAAAAAGTAACTAAATCCGCCAGAAACCCGAAAATCTTCACGCGCGTGCACATGCATGCGTGAACGGGACACATGCATGTGTCCCGTTTTTCCATTTCTGGAAGTTGGCAACCCTAACCGACACCTCCTCATCTCCACCGCTCCCATGTTTTCTTTTGTGTTGCCATAAGTTAGTCTCTCTGCATTTGTGTCCTGGGCGAATGCTAATGCTAATAGTGCTAATGCGAGGATAATAAAATGGCAGCTCTACAAAACATTTCAGAGTTTTACGGGGCGTGGTTTGCAATCGCCCAGCCAATCAGAACTGTGGTACTTTTTTTCCCCAGGAAAGTACCTGCTCTCATCAGGCGCTAAAAATGGGGTGAAAAGTTCCCGGCACTTAGTTATTTCTTTGGTGTGAACGCGACATCAGGGGTACTAACGGAACTAAACGCGAAAAGTACGGGTGAAAAGTATTCGGTGTGAACCCTATGGTGTGAACGCGGCTCTAGAGAGCAGGTACTTTCATGGGAGAAAAAGGTTCTGATTTCTGATTGGCTGGGCGGATTGCAAACCACGCCCCGTAAAACTCGGCAAAGTTTTGTGAAGCCGCCATTGTATTTGCTGGCATTAGCATTATTAGCATTAGCATTAGCCCAGCGCACCAACGGAGAGAGAATAACTTATGGTAACACAAAAAAAAACATGGGAGCGGTGGAGTGATGAGGAGGTGTCGGCGTTCTTGCAATTTACTCGGAAGGCTTCAGTAGAAGCCAGTCCCCAACTCCGGGGACTTCCGGCCGGGGACTTCGGGTTGCAGTATACGCCGTGAAGTTGTTTGCGGCCTGCCAGTAAACCCAAAGCAGAAGAAGAAGAAGTGACATCAGCGGCTTCATTTGCCTAATCCTCCCTCAGGGACTTATCCCGGTGTGAACGCGATCTGCTCTTTAATGTTAATCAGAACTAAAGAGTTCTGATGAACTAAGTACTAGGAACTAATGGCGCATTTCCACTGCAGGGCCTCGCACGGCTTAGTACGGTATAGTTAGTGTGTGTGTGTGTGTGTGTGTGTGTGTGTGTGTGTGTGTGTGTGTGTGTGTGTGTGTGTGTGTGTGTGTGTGTGTGTGTGTGTGTGTGTGTGGTGTGTGTGTGTGTGTGTGTGTGTGTGTGTGTGTGTGTGGTGTGTGTGTGTGTGGTGTGTGTGTGTGTGTGTGTGGTGTGTGTGTGTGTGTGTGTGTGTGTGTGTGTGTGTGTGTGGTGTGTGTGTGTGTGTGTGTGTGTGTGTGTGTGTGTGTGTGTGTGTTACAATTATGTAAATCACACCAATACTTTATTCAAAACCCCTTTACCCAGTCGAAAACTTAAGAAATAAAAGTCCTTTGAACTTCAGGTACAAAACTGAACCATAATGAACCTAAGAAGATGTTGTGGGAAGAATTTAAAACCTTGATTTATGTTATACATTATCCAACTGTGCGTTTAATTAAGATGTGCTTCTGTGTGTGTCTGCAGGGCATCAGCGTGGTGGAGCAGGAGCAGCTGGACAACATGATGATCGAGATGGACGGCACAGAAAACAAATGTGAGTCAAAACAAGTCGTGATGACTTAACACCAGTGGCGTTTTCTCCTGGAGGCCAGGGGAAGCCAGGCTTCCCCTGTTTTTTCGGATTGTAGTTATAATTTAAATAAATAAATAAAAACACTTTGTTTTGTTTCGATAATTCTCCTTTGCTGTGTGTTGCTGCCGGCCCGTCTCTCCCCCATTCTCATTGAGTATTTTACAAAGAGTGAAACAAACAGCGCCCCTCTAGATGTTATGGTGAAACAGTAGATTGCACTCACTGTTGCGAGAGGAGGCCAGCCGAATCTGGCTTCCCTTGGTAAAAAAAAATGGAGGGATTGACCAATCAGATGAGGCTCACGTGATGCCCCTGCCAACCTGTGATTGGTCAGGGCCATGCCAAGGGAAGCCAGAGGCGGCTGGCTTCCCTTGCCTCACAATCCAATCAAATCGCATCAACTTGCAGTGCAAGTTGCAACTTGCAGTCCTAAAATCCGGAAGTAAGCTGCTCTCGGTTTCCCTCGACAAAAAAGCAATGGGATTTCTCCATAGGATTTTGGAAAATAGCTCGAAATAAGGTCAGTGGAAAACGAACCTGTTAGATAAATGCACGTTTTGTTCAGTCGGATAATATCCACATGTCTACCCTACTTTTATAATTTTCGAATCATAAATATAATCGATAGAAGATAGATAGCGCCACTGCATCACTCTCACCGCCGTTAGAAAGAAGCAAGCAACTGAAGCAAGTGCAATTATGGAGGGTGGAGATTTGGAGTATTTCATCAAAAGTAATTGTACTAAACTTCCGCTACAGCAGCAACAACAAATACAATCTGATGACAGGCCGATGCCCAAACTGGAGCTGTGTACAGCAAGGAAAAAAGGAGCGAATCGGACGTAAAACGTTAAAGGTCTCCTGATTTAGTTTGTGAATGAATGCTTATTAGAGTGTGTGTGCAAGTCCTGCATCTGATAAAAATGTGTGTAAAATGATACCGGGTGCTGTAATCACTCATCTGGTTACGTTATTACATTGACCACCACACCCCCGACCCAAAAGAAAGGACGTATTATTGGCTTCCCCTAATTTTTTTCCCACGCCACGCTACTGCTTAACACAGCATCGTCAGACTCCCTCAGCCACCTGGAAACCCTCCTCCTCGTTGTCAGAAGTCACAGACGTTTTTGTACAAGGTTTTTTTTTTTCACCAACAGCACATTTGTCACAAAGTAACAAGAGGCAAAAAGACAGGCTACAAGACAGAGTGAATACATTGCTGTTCCAAACAGGCTTTGGCACAAATTCAGCCCCTTAATAAATACATGTAATGGTCATTTACTTTGATCTACAATCATGCCAATTAATTATTTCAGGTAGCAAGGTAAACAGAAGGCAAATAATTAGTGTTGGGAGGACTGAATACGTGTCAGAATAGAGCTGAATGTGTTGAGAGTGAGACATATTCTTATTAATTTTCTGCCAATAAATAAATAGACAGCATTGTTAGCAGGTTTAGAACGATAAAGGGATATCAGGTTTTTGTGCTACTCACAGTGGAGGAATATATATTTTTTAATAGAAAATATAAATTTCAAAAAGTATAGTTTTCTAAAACGTTCACGTGAGGTTAGTACGGTGGCCGACAGGTGCCCAAAACACTTCCGTTAGCAGAACTGTCCTGCAGTTTCAAAAACGATTCAAATTAAATAACACAAATATGACAAAGCACATGGCAATGAAGAAACAGCTTCACCAACTTGATAAGACATAAGCAGCATTTATAAAACAATCGCCAACTTGACAAAAAATGCGCAGAATTTACTAAAAAGCATTGCAAATGCAAAACAATGCAAATACAAAACGCTGCAAATAATAAAAAAAACATAACAAAAGCGGGGGCTCTAAAAAGTGATGCACACAGCTGGGTATGTGCCGCTTGTTGACATTTGGGGATTAAAAGTTGACCAGCTGTACATAGAAAGTACTTTAAAAAAATACCTACATACTATGACCAATGATACAACCATTTTTTTTCTTTTTCGTGTGATATATGGTACCACAATCTGTTGTCACAATGGTAAAATAATTGAAATGCTTCACATGGAAAATGTGTGTCTCTTACTTCAAACTAAAAGATTATTACCAGATGAATGCATTTAGGAAGAAATGATTAAATAATGACTCTTAAATTACATTTATTTTATTAGTCAGAAGAAATACTGCACTTTGGTTGCAAAACTTTAGGTTGTTCATTGGTCAACATTATTTAAAAAAATCACTTTCGTTGAATATACAAAAATATATAACAATACAGAATTCATTTCCTGTTTTCTATCCTGTCAAACAGCTCAATTTGGGGCCAACGCCATCCTGGGGGTGTCTCTAGCCATCTGTAAGGCCGGTGCTGCGGAGAAAGAGGTCCCCCTGTACCGCCACATAGCCGACCTGGCTGGAAACACAGAGCTGGTGCTGCCGGTTCCTGTAAGAAACTTGCTTTTTGATAAAGTTAAAAATGTACTGGACATATGTACAGGTGTTGATATACTTCATAGGGTGCTAAAAATGGTTTATTATTTGCCTTTTTTCTCTGCTCTCATTGTCAACTTGTTTTTTGTTTCCTCCTCTCATCTCCCCTCTTTCCTCATTTCCGCCCATCTCCTCTCCTCTTCAGGCCTTCAATGTGATAAATGGAGGTTCCCATGCAGGTAACAAACTGGCCATGCAGGAGTTTATGGTTCTTCCTGTAGGAGCTGAGTCTTTCAAGTAAGTGTTCATTTCCAAATCAATTTAATAAAACTTCTTCGATTTCCTCATGATTTCTTTCTCTCCTGCTGATGTTGGTATCCACTGTCATTTCTTTCTACTCTGTCACAATCTCTCTCCTCTTCGCTCCCTCCATCTGTCTCTCAGGGAGGCTTTGAGGATAGGATCGGAGCTGTACCACACGCTGAAGGGGGTGATCCAGGAGAAATACGGCCAGGATGCAACCAATGTGGGAGACGAGGGTGGGTTTGCTCCCAACATCCTGGAGAACAGTGAGGGTAAGGCTCCTCGGTCAATATTAAATATCACTAATAATGCAGTGTGTACAGTGTTTGTTGTGTGATGAAGCTTAATTTACACTTTGGTACCATTTAATCTCAACTAAACATTCTGATATGTTGAGAAAATTGTTGCATGAAAGAAGCTTTGATTTTTTGATCAGTAAAAAGCAGTCATTGCAAAGATGAAAGACAAAGAAAAGGTTTTAAAAAGCATGTCCTTTGCTTGTGAAATTTGGATAAATTTTATGGCAACTTTTTGTGAGAATAATGAAATCACGCATTGTCACCCCAAAGCAAATACATATTGTTTTCTGACCCCTCATAAACATGTCGAAGAGTTATCAACAGTTTTTATTCCTCAGTCGTGTCTTCAGATTTGTCTCTAAGGGTGGATTGAGAGGTTCAGAAAACCCTGTTTTTAGAAAATTCATCATTATTATAATTTTGTATTTCCTGCCTTACAATTCCGTCTATCTCCGAACCTACTCCTAACTCTCCGCCTCTTCTTTTAACTACTCAGCTCTGGAACTGCTGCAGACGGCCATAGAGAAAGCTGGCTTCACGGACAAGGTGGTGGTCGGGATGGACGTGGCTGCCTCCGAGTTTTACCGTGATGGCAAATACGACCTGGACTTCAAATCCCCACCAGATCCAGATAGACACATCTCAGGAGAGGAGCTGGCTGACATCTACCAGGGCTTCGTCAACAACTACCCAGGTGGGCTACGTTGCTTGTTTATGTTGATCAGAGACAGAAAATCTTGTCCCCTGTTTTCACCTCTCTTCTTAATTCCCCAGTGGTTTCCATCGAGGACCCGTTCGACCAGGATGACTGGAAAGCCTGGTCCCGTCTGACGGCCCAGGTGGGGATCCAGGTGGTGGGGGACGACCTGACGGTGACCAACCCTAAGAGGATAGAGAAAGCTGCTGAAGAGCGAGCCTGCAACTGCCTGCTGCTCAAAGTCAACCAGATCGGCTCGGTCACTGAGGCCATACAGGCGTACGTCTGCTTTATTGTAATGTTTAAAGGTTAATGAGAGTGGGTGATTGACTACCAAGGCGATCACAAATCATTTGCATTGTTGAACAAACATTGGAATTTAAATATTTTAGTGGTTTATTAAACGTTTTTTTAGTACCCCTTCTGACATCTTAGCTTAGTCGGTAGAAAGTGCAACCCAGTGATTTGAAAGAATGGTCCCCACCCAACCACAGGACATCCTGCAAAAATCTGAAATGTTTAGAAAATAGTTTTGCCCGACCCTTTGTAAAAAATGACATCATGCATGCGCAATTGACAAAGTACGAGTCAGCGAGTATCACAGAGAAGGTGATTCCAATGCTGATTCCAATGCTGATTCATCTGCGTTTTTAGGAGGCTCCACCAACCCAGTCTCACGGCATTTCGTGTGATAGTCACAAAATGTATTTAATCTATTGATTCGTGTTCACCAACACGATTTTCCCCTTTTTTCGTGTCACACAACGATTTTAAAAGCAATGTATTTCTATTGGTAGTATGTTTCGTGCCGGCACCACGTCTTTTTGTCCGGTCGGGTCTTGGAAGACCAGAAGCTGTGTGGTTCATAAAAACATCTCTTTACTCAATATCAAGCCACGATTATTGTTTTATTTTAAATTGTATAATGTCTGACTTTTTTTGCCGTCCGCGAGGAAAATAAATTGGGCTCAGAGCCTCAAAATACTGAAATCTGTATTTTTAAAATCTTTTTTTCCTTCTAATTTGTTATTATTTGGTGCAGGCACGAAACATACCACCAATATAAATACATTGCTTCTCAAATCGTTCTGTCAGAATACTGAAATCTGTATTTTTAAACATATTTTTTTCCTAATTTGTTATTATTTACATTGCTTTTAAAATCGTTCTTGTGACACGAAAAAAAAAAAAGGGGAAATCGTGTTGGTGAACACGAATCAATAGATTCATTTTGTGACTATAACAAGAAATGCCGTGAGACTGGGTTGGCTCCACACATCTATGAACACAATTCACCACTGTCAGTCCATTACGTTGTGAACACAGCGTTGTGCCCACGCTACACGCACTTTCTTCTCAGTAAGAAAACCAAAAACCAAAATGGCCGCCTCTGGCAGCCCTGTGAACTTGGACAGGCCAGAGAAAGTCGTCCATCTTGGATGAGACGACAAAGACGCCTATAGGGAGATAACATAAGGCGCTTTCACACCAAGTACTTTGCCGTACTTATGGCGCATTTCCACTACAGCGCGGAGCGCGGTTTAAGCGTGCCGTGCCTGGCCCGTTTTTGGTTGCGATTCCACTAGGTGTAGTTCCGGCTAGCGGGTACTTTTTCACAGTTTTCTGGCTCTCCAAAAATCGAGGGTTCCTTTCCGGGCCAACAACCAGGCTGAGTATGCTAAACTAGTGAGAGAATCGCTGGTAACTACAACAAAATGAACATATATAACCGTGATTTAATTGTAATACACGTTTCAAAATGATGCCGAAGTAACAACATACTGATACCGGCTAGTAAAAACCATGAATTAATGCTTTGACAAGTCTACAGACAGACGGCAGGCGAAAAACCTTTTAAAATGCGTGTTTTCTGAATGGAGATCGGCTAAGCTAACGCAGTATAAGCTCTGACCGTCCACACTCACAACAACGGCCTATACAGACATAAATAAACCAGAGACTGTATTCGCCATGACACAGGCAGTCTGTGGTTTGTACTTGTTTAACTTTTGTCTAGTTTCTGAACAGATATGAGGAGCTGTGAGCTCTGAGTGCTAACAGCTAACGGCTGATGGATGTTGGTTTTGTGTTTCACATTGAAGAGGACGTCACGGCTCCGCCTACACTGCGTTACTATAGTTACTACCCCAGTTCCTAAACTGTAATGGAAACGCAGCATAAAGTGAGCCTGGCCTACCAAGGCCTAACTATACCGTACTAAGCCGTGCGAGGCCCTGCAGTGGAAATGCACCATTAGTTCCTAGTACTTAGTTCATCAGAACTCTTTAGTTCTGATTAACATTAAAGAGCAGATCGCGTTCACACCGGAATAAGTCCCTGAGGGAGGATTAGGCAAATGAAGCCGCTGACGTCACTTCTTCTTCTGCCTTGGGTTTACTGGCAGGCCGCAAACAACTTGACGGTGTATACTGCCACCCGAAGTCCCCGGCCGGAAGTCCCCGGAGTTGGGGACTGGCTTCTACTTTTTAGTAGGCCTACCTCTCTAACAGGGACTAAAAAGGGGGTGAAAAGGTTCTCATAAACTAAGTTCTAGTTCCGGTTTTATCAGAACTATACTAGGAAAAGTACTCCGGTGTGAAAGCGCCTATAGATAGCCAGCTGCTCTGCCATCAGTCACACACACACACACACACACACACACACACACACACACACACACACACACACACACACACACAGGCACGCAAACACATGTGTTAGTCACATCACTTGTTACCTGTCAGCCATGTTGACCTTGTGCCTTGAGAGGAGGAGCATCACACCGGCCTTTGCGGGAGATAAACGTAGGACAGGAAATGATAACAGGCTGTCAATCAAATGTTTTGATGCAGCTATAGCATTGACTACCCTCTTGTGAATGTGTGTGTGTCATCAATCTCTGACTTAACAAAACGTCACTCAGGGTTATGAAGCTATCAGTCATGACAGTGTAGCTGGATTACTTCAGGAGGAGGAGGAGGAAGAGAGGAGCACGGTGAAATGAAATGGTGCTGATGAAAGGTGATGTATCGTATCTGTCACATAATGTGGTTAATATGATATATTCCTCTAATATCTCAGCAGGATAAGTAGGAACAAGAGCGAGGGCTTGTTCATTTATTAGAACCTCGAATCTGACCCGAGGCACCCAGAGTCCTAATTTTCATGCTAGCAGGTTAAAGTGTCAGACGAGCTGTCGCCACTAATAAATCACAATCTAATAAATTAACCCTAAGATTGATGAACAGAAGTAGAAACTCCCACAATGGTGGTTTCATACACCCATTCACATGATGGCTACTGAATTAAGTATGAAAGAATACAATACTTTGGACGCTTAGAGGACATATATGCATTTTTTAGGTTATTTGCTTTAATGTTCAAAAAGCCTGACTATTCTGCAGCACCTATTTTCACCCTCTGTTTGAAACAAGAGCCCAGTTTGCTCTGATTGGTTAGCTGGCTGGCTCTTTTTTTTGATTGGTCAACCACTTAGAGATGTCCCGCCCCCGTACAAAATGTCTTAGGGAGGTCTCTAAGTTGAAATACAAAAGAACATAGAGAGTGTAAGTGCTTTAGAATTGTACTTAATGACAGTTATTGAGTAAAGTATCCTTCTGTGTGTCTCTCAGGTGTAAACTGGCTCAGGCTAATGGCTGGGGTGTGATGGTCAGCCATCGTTCAGGAGAGACAGAGGACACGTTCATCGCTGACCTAGTGGTGGGACTCTGCACTGGACAGGTAAACACACACACACACGCACGCACAAACACACACTCACACAAATAATACGACTACATTTCACAGGTTCATATTTCTTTTAGAGTACAGGTTTTTAATTGCTAACAAGCAACTGTCAATACTGATGCCACATTTTTATTTACCAACACACAACTTGCCGTGACATTTCATCTCACTTCGAAAACTAACTGATTCCTCAATACACGTCTTAAAATGACTAACTAAAGTCTTTCTCATAAAACACTTACCTAAAGAACTCTGACAGCATGGAGCATTACATAAATGGCAGACTTTTATCTTTGAAGTTTTAATGATTTTTCACATATTTAGAATAATATAACGAATCAGAAATAAGGAATGTGCTTCAATATCCTTTTATTGTTCTACGTCCTTGCATGTAATAACTCACTTTTCAATAAAAAAAAACATTATTCATGAAATGTTTCCTTCTCTTCATTAGACTACACACACTTCAGTTTTGGATGCAATTGATACAGCCTTATTAATTTATATTTGCCTTTTTTTGTCATACAGATTAAGACCGGTGCCCCTTGCAGATCTGAGAGGCTGGCCAAGTACAACCAACTCATGAGGTAATCTCAAAATGTCCTCTCCTGCAACACACAATGTTTCTGATTTATTCAAATTCATCTCTTCAAATCCTCCTCTCTCTAAGCACATTTGAGTTCTCCTGATTTGGAAAATGTTTAATACCCAATTAGTACATTTCTTTATTGTTATGTCGCAGATTAGTTTTGTTCCCCTCGTAACAAGACTTTAGTCGAGCTAAAACATTCTCAGGATCTAGACTAACATATACAAATCTTAATTTAATCAATGATACATTGTGAAATTGGAAGTTTAAATATTGCATGTTCTCAGCATTTCTTTTACAGGCAGAATTGCTGCTTCAGTTAATATTTCATTCTCAGTATCTTCTTGTGGCTCCAAATTTGGCGGTGGCCCTGCTTCTGTATAACACTGCTCCTCAGGTTCACGCTTTGTCTTAGCGCTTAGCATCACAGATCTAATTGACGTGACAGGTGACAGCAGCGCCAGT